GGAGGCACTAAACAAGTCAGTGAGACCCTGTCTCTAAATAAAATACAAATTAGGGCTGGGAGTGTGGCTCAGTGGTCCAGTGCCAGAGTTCAATCCCCAGTACAAAAAAAAAAAAAAAAATCCCACAGGAGCTGGAGGTGCAGGTCAGTGTGGAAGAGCACTTGTCTAGCATGCTGAAGGCTGTGGGCTCCATTCCTAGCACTGTAAAACAAAACAAAAAAACAAAAAAAAAAAAAACCCGCTGTGTCTTTGAAAAACAATTATAGTTACACAAAAAACTAAATGATGAAATAGTGGTTACATTTGGTGCTTCTGGTTCTCTTTTGCTTACTATCTTTTCTAGAAAAGAATATACATTGCTTTGTTATATGGAAATTACTTTAAGCCAGGTGTGGTGGCACATATCTATAATCCCAGCTACACAAGAGGCTGAGGCAGGAGGATCCCAAGTTCAAGATCAGCTTGGGCAACTTAATAAGGCCCTATTTCAAACTAAAACTAAAAAGGGCTGGAAGTGTAACTCAGTGGTATAGAGTGCTGGCCTGGCATGCACAAGGCCCTGGGTTCAATCCCCAGCACTTCAAAACAAAAGATAAAAGCTTTTTGTTAACACAAAAGTTCTTAAAGATAAGAGTAAAAGTAAGAGTTCTGGTTTGAATGACTGCTCTCAAACAAAATGCTCACATCCAAATAGGTTACAAACACCCCAAGCAAAGAGAAAGCACCTTAGTTCTTTGCCCCCTCTAGGACCAGGCTAGGGGACTTAAGCCTAGGCCTCAGGCTCAGTCCTTCAACAATGAGTATGCTGGTACACACCCCAGTTCCTGGTAGTCTATGAAGGTGGCAAATCCTCAGCAACTTCTGCAGAGAGGTCCTTGTAAGAAGGTGTACACTGCTACACCTAGTGGCCCAAAACTTGTTTTTCAAACATGCATGGGGTGTGGGGAGAAGGGGCGGGGACGGTGGGGACAGTACCTTCAGCACCACACAGGATAATAAAGCCTTCCGGCTGAAGTCCAAGTAAAGGAAAGCTACTTTTTATATATTTTGTATTTAATTCAAATTAAGCAAGTTTGTTCTTACATAACACTTGGAAAACTATATTCAGGTAATCCAAAATAGTGATTGCAATTTGTGAAAATAAGTACTTATTGGGCTGGGGCTGAAGCTCAGTGGTTGAGCATTTGCGTCCCACGGGGAGGCACTGGGTTCAATCCTTAGCACCATATAAAAATAAGCAAAGAGGGCTGAGGTTGTGGCTCAGTGGTGGAGCGCTTGCCTAGCATGTGTGAGGCACTGGGTTCAATCCTCAGCACTTCATAAAAATAATAAAATAAAGGTATTGTGTCCATTTACATCTAAAAAAAAAAACTTTAAAAAGTGAAGACATTGTGTCCGTCTACAACTAAAAGAAATACTTATTAGTTGTTTCCTACAACAGAAAGTTGTTGATATGTTAAAAATAAAGTTCTGCACAGCCAGGTGCAGTATTACAGCCTGTAATCCCAGCAATTTCAGATGAAATTGTATCACAAGTTTGAGGTCAGCCTCGGCATTTCAGAGACTTGTCTCAAAATAAATGGCTGGGGTCCCTGGGTTCAATCCCCAGCACCACAATGAACAAACTACACCTTTTTTTAAAAAGGTGGTTGTTGGCCTACTAAAATACTTTTTCAATCAGATGTAACAAAAGGAAAAAAACACCTGAATCGCCTTAGTGCATCATTGTATTAAAATGTATTTTCAATTTGTTAGTAGTATACAAAACTAACACCAACAGATGTTCTTTACGAATAGCACGTTCTAACACTCATGTCAGTTATAGTGTTTCAGAAAGCACATGGTCTGCAAAGTAACACTGGATTACAAGTATCCACCAGGACTGCTTTGGCGACATGACTAGGCTGTACAAAGACATCCCAAATCCAGCGGCACACAATTCGGCCAACACCTTCCCCGTGGATCTGAGAAGTCTTTAGGACGCAATCACTGCGCAACGGTGTTAGACAAGGAGCAGGCTCCTGCCGACCTCCCGCTGCCTTTACGCGTGTCAGCGCCACGAGCGCGAGTCCTTCAGCCGGCACCCGAGGCTCTTGCCGGGTAGGCGGCCCGCGCGCCGGGCTCCTCGGGGGCGTCTCCGGGCTCAGGCCCCTCTATTTCCAGCACGCGTCTCAACCACTGGTCCGCGCCGCTCTCCTGCCTCAGGAAGCACCAGGAGACCAGAGCCAGGAGGGAGAGGCTGAGGGGTAGCACCTTCCACCAGGGCCGCTGCTGCTCCTTCCCCAGCGAATGCATCACGGTCCAGCGGGACGGGCTGGCTTTGCTGGAGGAAAACCGAAGGGGGCGTTCGGGGTCCTCCTCATCGTCCGCGGGCTGGGCCCGGCCAGCCGGCGGCGGGTGCAGGTTCCGTGGAGCCAAGCCCGCAAGCCTGAGTGCCCGTATGGCCCTACAAAGGAGATAGCAGTGAATGGGCCGTCTGGCCTTGGCCTCGGCCCCGGCCCCGGCCCATCAAGACGGCAAGATCCTCACCCTGCGGTGGGTGCACACAGAACGCGGTTCATCGCGACCTCCTCCCGGCGGCGCGCCGCTTGCGTCACTTCCGTCGCCAGGATCGGAAGCCGCCGCCATACCTGGCCTCACGACTACGGAACGTGAGCCCAGCCGCGCCGCGGAAATGACGTACTCCTCCGAGCACTTCCGCTGTAGTCCCCGCCCCCAGATACCGCGCGGCCTGCTGGGAAGTGTAGTTATCCGTCCAGCCTGGGCAGCGGTACTGGGACCAGCGGAGCACGCACCCTTTGCTCTCCGCACGCCCCCTCTTGGCGTTCGATGTCTGGCGGAAGCTATCGTCTGCTCTGGGGTGCCGCCACTCACGCTTCAGCCTTTTCATCTTGGTTTCTTTCACTTAGAAATACACATTTAAGATTTCTTCCGGGAGCCATAATCTGCTCTGGGGATGGCACAAAATCAGATCCAAAAGCTACCTCGTGACCTGGAACGTGTGATGTCTTTCTGTGCCTGCTTCCCCGCGAGGGAAGCACTTGGCTCAGATATTCCTGGCCGGAGATGCTGTCACAGCATTAGGTCGGGAGAGCCTAGAGTTGTTCCAGCCAAGGACACCTGGGCGTCCCTGCCCCCCTCCTAACAGCAGGCCCAGCCCAGGATGCATTCAGAGCTGCTGTGTCAACAGAGGCACCTGTTGCCAGCTCCATGGGCCCACCCCACCTGTTCCAGCTCAGAGCCCCACCAGAATCACAGGCACACCAACTTCCCCTGCAGGAACCTGGGAGCACCCAGTGTGCATGGGAGGAGGGCGATTGAAGTGTGGATAGTGGGTGGTCTAGAGAGCTTCCTGGAGGAAGAGGTCAAGGGTCTGCCGGCTTGAATGGAGCTGCAGAGGGGCCACCAGCTCAGACTGGTGCTTTTTTAGGTTGAGATGCTTCATGGTGGCTAAGCACAAACTGCCCAGGCCAGCCATGCAGGGTTTGGGTGAGAAGGTAGTGCAGGGGCTGGGGCTTCACCCAGGACAGAACAGGACAGGGCGCCCATCCCAGTCTTGATGACTGTCATGGATCAGAAACAGAAATGAGACCTTAGAGGGTAACTTGATCCTCTGAGCCCCCTTGAGCTTCCTAGCTGTAGTTGGGTGACACACACTCAGGCTACTGCTGATAATGGAAAATACTGTATTGAGCCTGTAGTTCCCCCTCAGAAAACAAGAGTATGGCAGTTTTTGGAAACAGGGTCTTTGCAGATGTTGTTAAACTGAGGTCATGCTACATCAGAGTGGGCTAACCAGTGACACATGTCCTTACAAGAAGAGAAGACAGATGTACAGAAGGGAGAAGGTCAAATAACCACAGAGGCAGAGGTTGAAATGGTGTGTCTGCTGGCTGAGACTGCACTGACAGGTGTGAGACCTGGCACAATCTCCCCAGTTGTCACTGGGAGTATCCCTGGTTTGGGACTTCTGGTCTCCAAGGCTGTGAGGTAAAGAAGCCCTGTTGTTTTTGTTTGTTTTGTGGTTTTGGGGTGGATCCCAGCACCTCACACATGCTAGGTAAGTGCTATACCACTGAACCATGTTACCAGCCCCTTTTTTAAAAATTTTGAGGCAGAGTTACACTACATTGTTCTGGCTGGCCTTGAACTTGGAGCCCTCCTGCCTCAGCCTCCCAAGTGGCAGGGATTATATGTGTGTGTCATTGTGCCGGCTCCTCTATTGTTTTAAGTTGTCCAGTGTGTAGTGCTTACTTACAATGGCCCCACCATAGCATCAACCCAGCATCCAACCCAGGGCAAAGCTCTGCTTCCCAGGACCCTCTGGCAGTTGCTAGCCTCACTGAGCCCTGCAGTCCTTCCTCACATCCTGCTGCTGAGGTGCCTCACCTCCCAGGCATGCTGGTTCCCAGTGGCCTGACTGGGAACCCTGAGAGGAAAAGGCCACAGCTCCAAGTCACCCTCCCCTCCCTGGGGATATAAACCAACACCTCAGCCTGCATTATCTCAAAGCACACAGAGAAATTTCAAGGGAGGCCTAATGTCCCACTAATGGAGGGGAGGAGAGGAGGCTATGGCCCTTGTGTGCTTAATGGCGGGGTAATTTATTGTAGCGCCACTTGAGAGTTGACATATTGGAGCTATTGATTTTCCTGGGAAGATCAATATGGGGTGCCTGGGGACAGGCAGAGCTTGCCTCTGGAGGGGCAGAGCTGTTCTTCCAGGGCCTGAGACCTGACAACAGGTGGGGGTGGGGGCTGGTGAAGGCATTGGGCTGAGAGCTGTGCAGGGCCAGCACTGCCCACAGTGAGAGCCAGGCAGGTGCTGGGACATATGTTGAGGCACCAGCTTCCTCTAGGGGCGCAGATGGTTGGCAGGGGGCTGGGGGACACAAAGCTGCTTGGTCTGGGCCTGGCTACCCACCCAACACCAGCTAGACATGTACAGGCAATGACTCCTGGCAAGTGAGTCTCTCTACTGACCCAAGATTCCCTGTTAGGCTGTCACTCACTAACCTAGCTTCACCAGAAACAAAAGCCAGAGACACCTGGTCTACCTTGAACTTGGCCTAAAGCTCAGGTGGAGTGAGGAAGGGGATGACTTGTTGAACTCCTGCTGGATTGCAGACCTGCTCCTTAAGTTGCCTGGTCTCCTCCATCATCATGCCTCAGCCCACACTGTGGGACCCTGGTACCTCCCTCTCTAGTCTCAGATGTTGTCCCCAAGGCCTTGCCAAGCTCCTGTTCCCAAACTCCTACCCTAGCTGCTCCAGCATCTTCTCTACTCTAGAAGTTTGCATCCCAGGCTTGGGTTTCCTCCTTTTTTTTTTTTTTTTTTTTTAGAGAGAGAGTGAGAGGGGGGGGGACAGAGAGAGAGAGAGAATTTTTTTTTTTAAAGAGAGAGTGAGAGAGGAGAGAGAGAGAGAGAATTTTTAATATTTATTTTTTTTAGTTCTCGGCGGACACAACATCTTTGTTGGTATGTGGTGCTGGGGATCAAACCCGGGCCGCACGAATGCCAGGTAGCGTGCTACCGCTTGAGCCACATCCCCAGCCCCGAGAGAGAGAATTTTAACATTTATTTATTTTTTCTTAGTTCTTGGCGGACACAACATCTTCGTTTGTATGTGGTGCTGAGGATCGAACCCGGGCCGCACGCATGCTAAGCCAGCGCGCTACCGCTTGAGCCACATCCCCAGCCCCTTGGGTTTCCTCCTTGATTTCTTTTCAGGCAGAGAAAAATGTCAGGATCATTCTAGGCCAGGACAAAGGTCTGACTGTTAGTGGACAGCCCTCTCTCAGCAACATGATGGGCATTTCTGCATTTGCTCGTTGTAGGATCCAAACCCCTGTCGCAGCCCCACTTCCGGTTGAGGCTGCCTATGCTGGAACCAGCAACAGCTGCGAGGTTTAAACACACACACTCACACACACACATACACATGGAGCTCCAATTGGGCCTCACTGGCCTGGAATCCAATCAGCAGACCACACTCTGAAGCCTGCGGGGACCTGCTTTCTTGCATTTTCCAGCTTCTTAGGCCCCTGTACCCCTTGCCTTGTCACCCTTGCCATCTTCAAAGCCGTTAGCACAGCATTGTCCATTCTGTTTGCCTTGGACCTGCTGCCTCCACTTCACAAGGACCCAGTGAACCCCAGAGGTTCCCAGCTCTGCACCAGCACTGGGTCCACTCAGGCTCTGTCCTCAGTTGGAATACTCTGCCTTCCTGCAGCTTACCCCCAAAGCCCCTCCTCTGGACACATAGGTGGGACATTTTCAAGGGCATGAAATATGTCTTCCCTCACAGCAGTGCCCCACCCTGGGGGCCACACAGGCCAGGGAGGCTCTGAGGGAACTGGTTACTGCCTGTGCTCACAGCACCTGCACAGCCTCTACCAACATGCCTCCTGGGTCCTCTGGCAGGTTCCCAAGGTCCCTTGACTGCCTGCTCTGCTGCTTACCCCCAAGGTGGAAGTGGGCAGCACATAGACTTCAGCCTATTCCCAGCCCCTTCCCTGGGCCCATCCTTCCAAGAGCAAGCAGCAGGGGGCACTATGGTTCTAAGCAGAAGCAGATGTGCCCCACTCTCTGCCCTGGTCCAGCTCTGGGGTTCTGGGAAGATCAGAGCAGGAGCCCCTGAGCCATCAAGAGGGCAAGGGGCTGAATATGGTCACAGAGCAGGACCTATGTGCCCCAGCAGCCTGTAACTCGGAGCCTGGGCCTCCTGAAGATCTGGTCTGACAGCTGAGTTGCACTGGGTCAGAGAGGAGCCTGCTGAGGCAAGACCACCCCACAGCCAGGATGGGGCCAGTGTCTTTGGATCCTGAAGTCTCAAACTTGGTCAAAACTGAGGTCAGGCTGGGTGTGGTGGCACATGCCAGTAATCCCAGCAAGTTGGGAGGCTGAGGCAGAAGGATCATGAGTTTGAGGCCAACCTCAGCAACTAAGTGAGGCCCTAAAAATCTTAGTGAGACCCTGTCTCATAAAGGGCTTGGGATGTGGCTCAGTGGATAAGTACCCTAAGTTCAATCTCATGTACAAAAAAGAAAAACCTCCTGAGGTCAGTCTATGGGGACAGAGATCCCCAAGCAGTCTGGATGCTCAGGACTGAACCTGGTCAGATGCCCCTCATCCCAGGACATTGGCATTACCTGGACATGGTCTTGCCTGGGTCACCCCCTCGGTTTCCTTCCAAGGACGAGGTAGTGATAAATGGCAGCTAGTTGCTGTGATGATGCCATTACCCTCCTACAGCCTGAAGTCTCTCTCTGGACATGCAGGTGACCTGCCCATTGCCATTCCACTATAGCTCAAACAGCCTCACTGTGAGATGTGAGCAGCTCCCAAGCCCCGTGTAGCTGCAGGGCTCCTGAAGCTTTCTGCCCTCCAGCTGAGGAAAGGACTGCAGTAACCAGCAGGAATCCAGCTGCAGGGAAGGCCAGGTCCATTGTGCTGAGATGGCAGAGGGTGGAGGTGCTGTCCCCCCACCTGGAGGGGGAGCAACTGGGAAAGGGGAGGTGGTGTCCACGTGCCTCTTGGAGATCAGGAGCTGGAAACAAGAACAGCAAGCATTGTGAGGCCTTTGATGGCCCAAGCCAAGCTGGGCAGGACCAGCCCTACCAGCAGCAGTGGGATTCGGGCAAGTTGGCTGGAGTCAGAGTCTCTCAACTCCACTTTGGGGTGGCTTCAGCCAGGAGGAGGCCTGGAATGTGGGGTGGGGAGCCATCTCAGTCTGGCCCCTGGGGAAGCCCAGGCCAGCAGTAGTTTCACTGGGTGATTGCAACTCTGTGTAGGTGGGAGGGGCAGCCTTGCTGGGCAGGGTCTTCATCATGGCCCCATCTGGTCTGGTGGAGACTGGGCACAAATGCCCAGAACCCCCTCCCCCCACTGCTGGAGGGGCTAGGCCAGGAGCCACCTGCATTAGCCCATCCCAGTGGCCTTGTGGTCTCTGTGCCTCCTGCTGGCCCAGGGCCCTGCTGCCAGTGAAGCACTGTCTGTGCAGCACACTGCAGAGGCAGGATGTCCTCTAGAGAGGCCTACTCGAGAACTCAAAATAGCATGAAATTTAATTTTCCGCCTATTTGACAAGGCTTGGAACAGGCCCAATGAGCAGCAGAGATAAGGGTCCTCGGGTCCAGGGTGTGGGCCAGCTGGGCTTGCAGCAAACACTCCACGGTCCCCTGGCAGGATGCGTGCAGGTGAGGCTGGTCTTCGGACGCTCCCCCCGCGGGGCCCTGGTTGCCGGGCGCTAAAGCAAACGGGCTCTATTTGTCCAGTCTGCGATGACAATGCTGTCGCCAAATATTTGCCAGCCTCAGGCGGCTGCAGAGCCCAGCTATAAATGCTTGCATCCAGGTGGAGGTGGGCCTGCCGAGCAAGAGGTGCAGCAGAGGCCAGGTAGGACCCAGGGCCTGGTGGTAAGTGGGGAGGGCCATGGCTCCATGGGGCTTCCTCCCAGGTCCTCTGTGGGACTGCTCTCCCTGTGGGAAGGTGTCTTGTCTTGTTCTCTGTGAGCAGTCATCCCCAGAGGCCTAGACATCCCGACAGCACAGGGCCCTGCACCTTGAGCAAGTGAGGTCACACAGTGGCTTCCAGGTGGGGGAGACTGTGTACAGCTACCTCTGCTTCCCCAGGGGAGGGACAAGTGCCTAAGTCATCCTGACCCTGAGGAGTGCATGTCCAAGGGCCTTGGCTACCCACACCCAGGCCCCCACAGAGACAGGTGTTGTTTCCTGATGAGCTGGGTCCTGGGCTTCTGGGCCTTCAGCTCTGCTTTCTTCCTCCCTCTCACTGGGGTGCACCCACTTGGCTTTCCCGTGCAGATGCAGACAAGGTTCCTGGACCCCACTTTTCCCAGATTCTTCCACATCATCCTCCCAGCAGGAGGTGCCTAGGTCATATCCACCCAGGTATCCTTACCTCATCAGAAGTCAACCAGAACCTGGGTCTGAGGCTGCCACTGGATGCAATGGGCTGGGCTGGACCCTCATGCCCACCCCCACCCCTCCATGGCAACTGCAAGGACCCTAGGAAGGGTTTGGGAGGCCATAGCAACCCAGGGAGGGACTCTGGAAGCCCTGCGCAAGGCTGACCCCCTGGGACTTCTCTCCCTCTGCTTTCCCTGGTCCAGGAGTGGCCATGATTTTAGTGATTGTAGTGGCTTAATCCCACCCCCACATCCTCCCTGCACCCAAAACTTCCCTACCTATAAGATGGGATCTAACTGCTTCTGCTAATGGCCCACCGCACTCCTGGGCCCACGCTCTGCAGTTTCTGCCAACCTCACCCCTGCTGAGCTGGGCCAGGGAAGCTGGGAGCTGTGGGAGGGAAGAGCCGGGGAGCCTTCTCTGGGTTGCACATGTGGCTCTGAGCTCTGACTGCTCACCTGCCCGCTATCTCCCTCTCCAGTCACTGCCTGCAGTCACAGAGGCCCCAGGAGTTCCAGTGACTTCAGGACATGGCTGCTGGCGTGATCCGGCCTCTCTGTGGCTTCCGGCTGCCCCTGCAGTCCCACCAGCCCTTCCTGAGCTCAGACCCAGAGCCCCTTGAAACTTCAGAGGAGGAGGAGGAAGAAGAGGAAGATGAGGACAATGAGGATAGGGAGGGCGAGGAGCTAGAGGGCAAGGGGTCCCTTCAGAACTCAGGAGTGGCTCCCCAAGGTCCCAACAGTCCAGAGACTCCGCTGCGGCTGCTGCGCTTCTCAGAGCTCATCAGTGGTGACATCCAGCGGTACTTTGGTCCTAAGGACAAGGGGCAGGACCCGGATGCCTGTGATGTCTATGAGGATAGCCACTTGGCCAGCCACTCAGCCCGAGAGCTGTACTATGCTGACCTGGTGCGCCTGGCTCAGGGCGGGGCCCCAGAGGACGAGGAGGCCACTGAACCTGAGGTCCACTTGTCCAGGGGATCTGAGGGGCAGGCACACAGGTCTGGCTTCAGCAAGGATGGGACACTGCCACTGGGACCCCTGGCTGAGCTCTTTGACTATGGGCTGCGGCAGTTCCTGGGGCCCAGGGCATCAGCCGGCCACAGACTGAGGCTGGAGCGGAAATACAGCCACATCACCCCCATGACCCAGAGGAAGCTGCCCCCATCCTTCTGGAAGGAGCCGGCGCCCAGTCCCCTGGGCCTTCTCCACCCTGGCACACCAGACTTCAGTGACCTGCTGGCCAGCTGGTCATCTGAGGCCAGCCCTGAGCTGCAGGGTGGGGGTGCTCAGGCATTGGAGGGGACACAACTGACTGAAGCCTAGAGATTGGGTCAAGGCTGTGCTGGGGGCAACAAAGGTCGCCCTTCCTAGGGTGCCCAAACTCTTCCTCGTGCTCCCTGAATTCCTTCCTTCCAGATAGCCGTGACCTGGCTGCCCACCTCAGGCAAGGCCTTTCCAGGCCCCAAAGGAGGTTCTGGTCTTGTTCTGCAGCCTATGGCTGCTACTGCCAGGGATCACCAGGACTGGCAAGGGTGCAAGACTAGTGAGGGTGTCCAGGCTGAGCCAGCCCCTGCCTCAGCCTCCAGAAGCACCCCACTCTGCACAGGGGCCCCCAGGGCTCTGCCCACAGGAAGAAGAACCTGGGCAGGAGCTTTGGCTCCCTGAGGTCATGGGCTAGGGGTGTTTGCCTACACACGTACCCCTCTAGGGGAGGCCCCATCGCTGCCAGGCCATCCCCTATGACCCAGGTCAGTGGCAAGGGCCAGCCCACCCGCAGCCCCACAGGGCCAGTGCCGATTGTCCCTGGTACAGCCCCTGGTATAGCATAGGCAGCAGGGCCAGGACATAGATGAGCCTGGGTTTTCTTAAGAGGCAGAAAGAGGCGCCTGACTTGAGTAAACATGGGTGTTTATTCCCTGGATGAGTGCTGAGAAGTGGCTTCCTCGGGCAGCACTCTGGATGACAGGTCAGCTGGCAGGGCTGGGCCCAGCCTGAGGTGGTCAGCCACAAGCCTGCAGCCCCAGTGTCTTCATTCCTGCTGGGGGGTTCACATAGGTCCTGGCAGCAGTAGGCCTAGGTGCCTCTGGACAGGCCAAGACCCTTTCTCCTGGGGATGTGGGGCTCCTGAGTTGCGGGGGAGAGATTGGGCAGGACAGGAAGGACCCTAGGGATTGGGGAATTTGGTCTCCTGGTCTTGGTCCTTCCCACTGCCCAACCTGTGTGTCAGTCACACAGGCCCTTGGGGAGGATTTCACTGGCAGGTATCAGGGAGTAATGGCCCCACATGGTACAAGAGCTAGCACATTTATTTCTGGGAAAGGGACAAGGACGTGTGCTGGGGTGCAGGCTACTGGTAGGATGTCTTCAAGACTACGCCTTGCCTCTGCCGGACCACCAGGTTCATGAGGACGGTCTTCCACTGCAGCCACCTGCCCAGGGACCCGGATCATGGCCTGCACCTCTCACCACCTTCCCTCCCTGTGGGGAACTCCCTGTCCTACCCCAGACCTGGAACCTGAGGGGCTGCCGCCAAGCTCCCTGCTGCCCACCTCACAGTCTGATACACGCCCCAGCAGTTCACGGAGACCAGCTCTCCAGGAGCCACGTCCTTGATGAAGAACCGCTGCCTCACCAGGGACATGAGAACCCGCCTGCTGCCCAGTGTCAATGGCCAAGGGCCCTCCTCACTCCAGAGGCGCAGCACACTCTCCCGCAGGGTTGCAATCTCCTCTGTGCGCTGCAGGACACAGGGGCCCCTGGTGTTACCCAGGAGCCACGGGGTGGGGCGGGGAACAGAACAACGGAGGATCACACAACATGGGAGAAGACGACAGGGGTGGGGGCAGCCCAGGCCAGAGGCCCTCATCTTCAGGAAAAGGCTGCTGGGTGCCAGCTGGGCTGCTGGGCAGACTGCAGGGCTAGAGGGAGCAAGACCAGGCTTGCCCCAGCCCTGGGAGCCCCCAGCCCCTCACCAGCTTGGTCTCTGTGTTGAACTTAAGGTTCTGGATGGTCTTGTGGGCCTGCATGCTGCTCTCCAGTTTTATCATTTGCTTCTGAAACTAAACATAGCCCCTGTCACGGGCAAGACACAGGTGGCCTTCTGGTGTCCAGCCAGCCCCAGGGCCCAACCTGGAATCCCTGAGCACTGGGAGCTCTGGCAAGTGTCCAAGAATGGTGGTCTCCCTGGGCCCAAGGTACCGTGGCCAGCTGTCCCTGGATCTCAGCGATCTTCCTCCCAGGGCTCTCCTCCTTGAGCAGCTGCATAGAGGACAACAGGGTAGCCAGCTCCTGCCTCATGGCACCAACTTCGAACTCTCTGTGGGCATCGAGGGCAGCTATGGAGTCCAGGTGAGACAGATAGGTGCCTCCCCTAGCTGCCATAGGTCAAAGGGAGCCCGAGAGGACTTGGCCTTGCCCCCTTCCAGTGCAGAAAATGGGGATTCCCAGTGGGTGGCAGGGGGGAAGCTGCACCAGAGGAGAGATGAGCCCAGAGTAGGACTGGCCAGGCCAGGGAGGGGATGGGGCTGCCATGGGCACCTGACAGAGCTTCTGCCCATTTCTCAGGGGCACCCTCACCTGACCCTGCCCTCGGCTGAGATCTTCAGGTCTGTGTCGCTCTTGTGGAAGATACACTTGTCTGAGACGCCTTCTATCTGAAATGGAGGCCGTGGACAACCTGGGGGGTGACCCCCCGAGCACAGCCAGCTTGGGGAGCCCCAGGCCGTCCAAGCCCAGCAAGGAAGGCAGGAGAGGGGAGGGGTGGGAGAAGCCCTCCAGCTCCCCAGGCTGGCAGAGCCTGGACAGCTAGGCCCACCTGCCGCGGGAGGCCGTCCACCTTCTCCTGCACCTCCCGCAGGTGAGTTGAGACTGTCTTCTGCCACCGGGCCAGGTCTTCCAGGGACTTCCTCTCCACACCCTCCCACTCAGTCTTCACCTGAGATTCAGACACAGAGAAGGCTGCGTCCCAGATAAGCGTTCAGGCAGGCAGAAGGACAGGGCTATGAGCCAGGACATGGAGAGGCCCAGGAGGCTGGGAAGAAGCTCCTGAAGGCCACATGCCCACATCCACCTCTGACTCTGAGCAGTCTGTGCCCAGGCCTGCTGCAGCCACCTAGGGGGACAGCCATGCCCAGAGCCAGTCAAGTGGGCTGCCAGGCTCAGCACAGAAGCACCCTGAGAAGAAGGGCACAGATCTTCTACCACCAAGAGCCGACAGGGACAGGGACGAAGAGCAGGCCTGTTACCTGCAGGAGAGGGCCTGTCATGAGCTGTTCTGACCAGTGTGTGCCCAGAGGGGCGACAGGGATGAACTGGGGGTTCCAGCCCCAAGATCAAAGGGTGGACCCTCATGGTCATGGCAGTATGATTCCCAAAAGCCAAATTAACAACAGCCCACATGTCCCTCAGCAGGCATGTGTGCAAACAAAAGGTAGCCTGCTCACACCAGGGGATGTCACCCTGCCAGGAGGATACACTGTGAGGGCCTGGCCCAGTGAGCAGCCAGAAACAGCAGCTACATGTGTGTGACTTCACTGACATCAAAGGTCCTGTGGGCAAGGCCACAAGCACAGAGATGTATCTGAGGGGCCAGGGGCTGGGGTGTTAGGGAGACTTGATGGGTGGTCTGGGGTTTCCATTTGTGGTGATGAAAAGTTCTGGAATCAACAGGGCTCCCAGCTCTGAAGGAACTGGAACCCACTGAGTCGCACACCTGAGGGGATGTCCTGCCCTACAGGTTATAGCTCAGCGATGATGCAGGAGAAGAAGGGAAATGAATGCCAGGGCCATGGGTGGCTACCACCTTTGTTCATCCCACCCCTAGGGACAGCCTCAGGTCTCAGCAGTGGAGCTGGACTGGTCAGACCTCTGCCCTCAGGGCCCAGGCCTTCCAGAATGTGCCTTACTGCCCTTTGGTGCTTACCTCAGATAGTTTCAGGCCCAATGTCTGTTCCTGAAGGTCCAGCCTCCAGCTCACAGCCAGACAGTGGTCACTCAGGTCCTTCAATTGCCTGGCCAGCTGCGCCACTGAACCCTCTAGGACCTGACTCTTCTCTTGGAGCTGCAGGAGAAGGAGGAGGTCAGGGAGGCCTCAGCTGAGTGACCATGGTCATGTGCAGGGTGTGTGCTGCCCCTCTCCCTGGGCACCCCTCACCAGCTCCAGAGCACCCTGCATCTCCTGCCGGGTCAGCTCGCCAGCCAGCTGCACGGCCTCCAGGTTCTCTTGCACGAAGGAGGCCAGTTCCCCAGCCTGGCTCTCCTCCAGGCACACCTTGGTATCCCTGTGGGTTGACAACACTGACACGGTTTCTCAGCTGAGACTGGCCTGCCCCTCAGCATCAGGCCAAGGAAGAGGACACGGCTGCTAGCTCGCTCTGGAATCTCCCAGGAGAGCCCATGGATCAGATGACAGAATGTTCTCATGGGTGCCACCAAGAGAGTTAGGTTTAGGGAAGGGGCAGGGCTCAGCTAGAGGGTCACTATTCTGTCTCAGTGGACAAGTCCTAGTGCTCTGCCAGTGCCTTCCAGGGGAGGTGGATGACTTCTGGGTGGCCTGCCTGAGCAGGCAGCTCCCCGTGGCCAGAGGACACCCACCGGGCCTTCTGCTCAGCCAGCAGGATGCGGTTCACTGACACCTGGTTCTGCCGTACGAACTTTGTCAGCTGGACCACGGCCGCGTCCAGGCCCCGACATTGCTCCAGCAAGTGGCCCTCCTCCTCCTGTCCCAGAGGAGGTGGCCCTGAGCTGGTGCTCTCCCAGACTGCCCTGGCCACGCCCACCCACCAGGCCCACCTGGCGCTGAGCCCCCAGGGCCTGCATCCGCTCCTCTGTCAGCTCCTGCAGCCTCTGCCAGCGACCCTCCAGCTCCTCCCGCAGGCTGCCCTCGGCCTGCAGCCGTGTGCTCTCAGAGGCCTTCATTCTCTGCAGGAACACCACCGTCTGCAAGACCCCTGCCTGGCCTGGGTACATGGGCGAGGGTGCCCGGTCTGGCCCAGGATCCTACCTGTTCCAGGGCCAGGAAGCTCTTCTGAAGGAAGCTGCACAGCTTGGCCTCCCTCTTCAGGAAACGGAGGCTCACCTCCTCGCCTAACTTGGTCACCTGGGCCTGGGGAGAGGCCCAGTGTCACTTTCAGCCTCCCTGCTGGACATCCCATCCCACCCAGCCCCAGGTCACATCCCCCTTGCTGTCCCTGGGACTTGCAGAACTGGATCTACTGTATCCTGAGTGGAAAGAAAGGCAGGGCAGGCAGGGGCCACTATCCCCAGGAGACCAGGCTCAGGGAAGATGAAGGGCCAGATACTAGCCAGAGCTGGAGCTGGGAAGGACCAGGGCACTCCTGCTACACCAAGGGTGTGAAAGTGCGGGGGCGGAAGGGGGATGAAGCCCAACCCAGTGCGCTCCCCTCCGTCTCACAGGGTCCAGACACCAGGCACCTTCTTCACAGCCACAAAGCTCTTCTACCAGTAGCCCCAGCACTCAGGCCCTGCCCATGGTTGGGTGGGGGCCTTGGGGAAGCCCTCACTCTGCCTAGGCCCCTAGGGGAGGGAGGCACAAGGAAGGTGCCCTAGAGCAAGGTCCACAGACTTTCCCATACAGCCCCACAGTAAATGTTTCAGGCTCACAGGACTTTTGCTGAAACCTTTCAACACTGTGGTTGTGACCTCAAAGTAGCCATTGGCAGTACTAAATGTGCTTTACTGGCTTTGTGCTGATAAAACTTTATTTACAAACTAGGCAGTGGGTACAGTGGGTACACCTGAAACCCCAGCAAATCAAGAGGCTGAGGCAAGAGGGTCACTAATTGGAGGCCAGCTTCAGCAACTTAGCAAAACTCTCAGCAACTTAGTGACCCTGTCTCAATGCAAAAAGGGCTAGGGAGATAGCTCAGTGAACCTGGGTTGAATTGCCAATTCAAAAAACAAATCAATGAACAAACAAATAAAATTAGACCATGGGCCATAGTGTGCTGACCCTGGCCCTAAAGTCCTCAGACATTCTGGGGCTCAGAGGAAAAGGCGGGTGCCCCAGGAGGGGCAGCTCCCCTACATCCAGTGTCAGGAGCCCTCAGCCCTCTGCCCTCACCTTGGCACCAGCATATCAGCTTCCCAGCGGCAGTGGGAAGGGGCCACATGGGAGCAGTGGGATGAGCCCTGCCTTGGAGGAGCCTGGGTGTGTGGGGCACAGGCTGCAGTTCAGGGATCTGTCTGCAGAGCCAAGGAGCTGGTCACTCCTGGGGGTCCTGAGTGGGAGGCAGCATGGGGGCCTGGAATTCCTGCTTCACAGAGGAAGGCTCAGGCTGCCAACGGCTGGGAAGGGGCTCTGGCTCCACTGCTCCCCTCCCTGACCCAGGCTGTGGCAGCCAGAGATGTCCACTCCAATGGGCTTTTGTGAGGAGGACCCCAGACTTGCACCACTGGCCACCTGTGGCTGCTGGCATTTGAAAAGCGGCTTACATGGCCTAGGAACCGAGTTGAGTTTTTATAATTGTAACTGATCTCAATGGGCAGGGCCACTGGGGTAAGAGGTCACCATGGGGGACAGTGCAGGATGAGAGTTCCTCCCCAAGTTCCATCAGCAGGGAGAGAAGAGCCACCTCTGGCCAGGGCACAGGCTGAGGATGCTGGGGCCCTCCAGGGGCCCCTGCCAGGGCCAGGCCTGGCCTCCCTGTGGTACCTGCATCTTGGCTACCTCGTGGTCCACCCTCTGGCTGGCATCCTCTTGGCTCTTGTGCAGTGCACTGCAGGCCGCCTCCCGGCCTTGCTCCTCCTGCTTCAGCAAGCCGGTCAGCTTAGTCAGCCTAGGGAAAGTGGGTGCAGGCGCCAGCTGAGCTAGCTAGAGGACTGGACTGGGGAGCCAAAGAGGCTGGTGGAACCATGGGACAGTCTTTCTCAGCTAGGGCAACGTGGGAGTGGAGACAGACCTCAGAGTCCCAGCAAGGGATCCAGGGAGGGAGGGCAGGGCCCCAGCCCCTACGAGGTCCACCGTGGGTCTGTGGTCCCCAGCATCCAGTGGCTCAGCACCGAGGCAGGGGATGCCCTGCTGGTAGTGCTGGGGGCACAGGGTGGGTCCAAGCCAGCCTGGGGAGGTGGCGCCCACCTGAGGTTGGCCTCTTGCTGGGCACCCTTCCGCTGCACGTCCTGCAGGGCCTGCCTCCTCCTGACCTGGGACAAGGCTTCCCGGACCTCCACCAGCCTGGCACACAAGGAGCGCCTCTGCAGGCCCAGAGCAGCTGGGCAGCCTCTGGGACTGGGGATTTGGCCATGGGGCCCTATCATCAGCCCCCCTACCTTCTCGGGATCTCAAGCTATCCAGGGGTATTGAGACCCGAGCTTTCTGAGTTGGACCGCATACCGGTACTCCTTACCCTAACAAGACAGCTTACTGGGGAAACAGAATCCTGAGCGAATCCCCATGGGCCCTGGTGCCAGCCACTGCCTGAGCCTCTCCCACCTGCTGAAGCCCTTGCCCACAGGAGTATAGGGTACCTTTTGTCCAGAGCCTGCATCTGATTCTGGTTCTGGGGTCCAGGGAACTGCAAAGCGGAAGGTGTGGGGCTGGGCAGGCTGGAGTGCAGGCCCAGTGGGCGTGCCCTGGAGCCATGGCTTAGGGATGAGCAACAGGGGTGGCACTGGGCTTGGGACTAACCTCTGAGAGAGGGGGAGACTGACTGGGATGGGGCACTGACGCCTTTGCCATAGCTCACCTCCAATGCCTCCTTCTCAGGGGCCTGAGCCACCTGCTGCATTTCCTGCCGCAGCTGCCGGAGCTCTGAGGCCTGCAGCTGCATGTGGGCCCGCATCTGCAGCAGCTCCCGCAGCAGGCTCAGAGTGGCGTGCTCACAGCGCTCCTTATGTCCGCGCAGGCACGCCACCTCAGCCTGCAGGTCACCCACCCTGGCCAGGGTTGGAGAAGGTGGTCACCAGGGCAGCCTCCTCAGGGTCCTCCCTGGTCCTCTTGCCCTGTGCCGCAGGGCTCACCACTGCTCCAGCTTCTCCCAGCGCTTGGAGGTGCTTGGCTCGGGGACACAGGCATTGGACGCCAGGTGGCTGGACTCTGAGTTCTCCTGACTCAAGGGCTCAGGGCTGGTCAGGCCTTCGGCCAGGAGGAGCTCCAGGTCCTCCAGCGAGACGGTGCTCCGCTGAGAGTGGGGCGAAACCCCTGACAGGGAGCTGTCAGCTAACTCTGCAAGGAAGTGCTTTGGGAGTGCACCCCCAGACACCAACTCCTGCTGGAGCCCACAGGCACCCCAACGTTGCTGGCAATACCCACCAGCCACCCGAGCTCAGCCTGTCTACCGTTGCTAGGCACCACCCAAACCAGGTAGGGGCTTGGCTCAGAGAGCTGCAAGAACCTGCCAGAGAACACACAGTACTGGGTAGCAGACACAAGACAGCACCACCCTGACTAGCTCTGGCAGCAGCCACGGGGAGAGCAGAGCTGTCTTGTGTGGTCCTCCGGGTACTTTGCTCCTCCCGCTGCAGACTGCACACCCCGCATCTGGCTCACCTGACATGGCTTCACCAGCTGTCCCCCCTGCAGCTTTGACGCTGGGCCTAGTGTCCCCGTGGCTGCCCAGAGCTGGATGCTAGGCCAGGGCTGATGGGGACTTAGGGTTCGGCAGGGAAGTGGGGCTAGAAGGCTAGGAGGCCTCAGGAAGCGGGAGGGCTGCAACTCGAAAAGCCATCCTTACATCCTGCCTTCTTCCCAGAAGGTCCCACAGGAGGCAGGAGCAGCTGGGCAACAGAGTTATTCTGGAACTTTTATTTCCTCACCAGAACCCTGTGGGTCATGGACCAACTGCCAGTGGACCTGAGCCCTCACCTGTCCCATCCTGATGGCCTCCAACTGCCAGCTTCTGGAAGGTTCTGAGGGGCACTGGGCAGCTTCATCTTGCAAAGGGGCTTATTCCAGGGGCAGCAGGGAGGGAAACCAAGCCAACCAGTCCTGACCACAGCCCAGGCCAGAGACCCAGGGGCAAGCTGCAGGAGGTGCCCACCACTTAGGGCTGCTGGCACCTCTGGCTCTCCCAGCAGCCATGAAGGAGGCCAGGACAACAGGAGTTATAACAATTTGTTTTATTGGACCTAATATTTCCAAAATGTCATTCCAACATGTGACCAACACAAAACAATGTGTACAGAGATTGCACGTGCGTTTTTGGTACGCCTCTGGGGCCTGGCGGTTTCTCACGCCCTGAGGACCAACTCAGATGCAGCCCCTCCAGAGCTCTTCTTGCCTTGTTTCCCAGGCCCACCTGCCAGGGCCTCCTGTGGAGTAAAGGGTCCTAGGGGAGGGACTCCCCAGTATCCTGGCTCACCCAGGAGTGAGGCTTCTTGGCCTAGAGAGCAGGGGTGGTAGAAATGGCTGCGAGTTGCTTGGAGGAGGAGGGCAGGGCCCCAGTGAGGGCGGATGGCTATCTGCCAGACCTGACCTGTCTGCAGCTCCCCAGGTTTCAGGGTGGGAGGCCATGGTGCTCACAGGAAGGCTTGGTGCCACACACCAGTCACCACTACCTCAGCGCCCAACCCTTGGGCCCGAAAGTGCTAGTGGGCTAAACAGGGAGGCTGGCACTGGCTGCCTGGGCAGGGGTCCTTTATTTCTCACACTCAGGACCCATGGAGAGCAGAGGAGGAAGCACAGCCTGGGGCCACATAGGAGGACTCATGGGACATATGCCAGGGACATAGAGATCCCCTTCCGTGTCCCACAGGTGGGGCCCTGCAGCCACAGGGACACCACATCTAGTCATCTGTCTGAAGGTGGCTGCCCAGCTGGTGGGTGGGAAGGTGGGAGCTTCTTGGCTAATTCTCAATGGTCTATCCCAGAGCCACTAAGACAGCCTGGGAGTCCTGAGGCCAGCAGGAGGCTACCTCTAGTGGCATCTGCTGCTGTCAGAAAAGATGTATCAGCCGGTACCAAGGCCCCTGGGTGCTATGGGAAGGCTGACCTCTGGCTGCTGTACACATGTGGGGTGACCCCAGCTCTGGAGTACTTAGGGTGACAGGCAGGACCTGGGAGTCAGGCACTAAGATGATCCACAGCTCCCAAGACCCTGGGACAGAGCTCATCTGCCACGTCCTCTGGACCTGGGGTTGCCCAAGTTGGGTGTAAACCCAGGGGTGCACATGGGGCTCCCTGTTGGAGCTGCCCTGGAGCCACATAGCTCCCAGGCCCTGGCCATTGAGGCTCAGGCCCAGGGGCCCTATGCTGTGGGCTCTCAGCAAATGAGACTGAGCTTGTGGTCGGGAGTGGTAGACCAGCTCCTGAGTGGTCAGCAAGAGCTGGTCTCCCATAGGAACCACAGAAGCCACTATAGGCAGGATGCAGCACATCTACCTCATGTGCACGCCAGCCCCTCCCCTTAGTCCCAGGGAAGGTGCTGCTGCACACGTAACCCTGGAGGCAGGAAGTGGGGGTGGACCTGCACAGCAAGGGACTGGCCCAGTCTAGGGAAGCCTGCTCCCAGTGCCACACCCCCAGAGGATAGGGACCCTAGTAGATGCAAGGGGCTGGGAGTGCCACCGCCCAAGGCGGGGCGCCGGGCCTCAGGTCTGGGCCAGTGAGAGCTCCTCCAGGCCTCCCTTTCCCAGGCGGTACCTGGCCAGATCCTTCCTGGTCACCAGCCCGACGACCTGTAGAAGCAACACCAGGTCACACAGTCCATGGGCCAGTACCCCACCTGTCCCACACATGGCTGGTGCCAGGGGAGCCTTTAGAGCTTGGACAGACTCTGAGGTTGGCACGTGGCAGAGTAAGGGGTATAGCTGTTGTGCCAGCACTGATGCAGGAACAGGCCAGGCTGGGTCTCACTCCCATGTACCTGCATGGGAGCAAGAGCAAGTGCCCGTGACCTGGCCAGCCCAACAGGACACAGACTACCAGACCCACCTGATTGCGGTTGTCCACGACCACCAGGTGCCTCAGGCCCAGAGCCCGGAACAGCTTGAAAACCCGAGGGAGAGATGCATCCTGCAAAGGCACAGCATTCAGTGGGCCCACCCTGGCCGGGATTACACCCTGACCCAGGAAGGTCTGCCAGTCTACTCTTGTCGGTCTGGGCCCGACCCCCAGTATGCTGCCTTGGGGACTCCCCCCAACAGACCCTCCCTGAGTAGGAACAGGGGCTCCCACTCTCCCTGCCTCTGTGTCCATCAGAGGTGGCCACTCCACAATGTCCTAGGTGGCCCTGAGCTTTGGTACCTGGGGCACTGTGTAGGGCGAGGGGTTCATGAACTCCGAGAGGTCCATGGTGCACTCCCGCTCATCCTGGGACACGTGGATGGACTGGATCGGAGGGAAGCGTGGGTAGGCGTCGCGGAAATCCTTCAGCTTCAGCCGCCGCTGTACCAGGCCCATGTTGGATCTCTCCACAAACACCTGCGGGCAGTGGCCAGTCAGGTACTCATGTAGGGGCCGCACCCCAGGCCCTCCCCACTGGGCTGCCTGACGCACCTTGTGCTTAAGGAGCACGATGAGCTGAGAGCGCAGGATCAAGCCCTGGAGCCTGGCTGGCTGCAAGAAACATGGGCTCAGAGGCAGCCCTGGGGCCCCTGCTCCCGCCAGAGCCCTGCCTGCCTGGCTGCAGCACCATCACAGCTCCTCTGAGCACTGGCCTTGCCACAGGCACTTCACTGCCCAGGGCCCTTGAGCCCCGAGACCAGGGACAGGGCAGCCTGGCCTGAGCCACACCCCCATGCAGGGCTCGCGGGTGAGGTGTCAAGAGAGGGCAGCTTTGGCTGGAGAGGACATGCAGCCCCAAACTAATCCCCTCCACCAAAGTCCACGTCTTATGACCCCATAAGGGATATGGCAGCGGCTCATGTCCAGCCTTTGCCTCCTGACAAGGTGAGAGCCACTGTCACACTGACCACCCCATTGGGTCAGGACCATGAGACTCGGGCATGGCTCTCCTGTAGACCGGGTGACTCTGGTCATCTCCTTCTATGGGCAGCAAGGTCCTGCTGCACATCCAGTGCAGGGCAGGCCTAGTACCTGGGTGCCGTCCACACCCTCCACCACAGGGAAGCCGTTGTGGTTGGACGCAGAGTCGCTGAGGACGTCCACAATGGTGCCGACCTTCTCCCTCATCCTCAAGCAGGTCACGGGAGTGCTCATCACCTCCCTGCCAGGGAAGCCACCCCCAAGGCCGCCTGTCACTGGGGCACCAGCACAGACTGGACTCAGCCCTCCTGTCACAAGGTGTCCTCAATAGCCATCGGTGTGCCAGGCTGATGCTCAATGGCACAAGGCTATCACACTAAGAAACTGGAGCCCAGAGGCCTCCCATCCGCCCCCAAGACTCTGCTGGAATCGGGAGCCCAGCCCGGTGCTGGGGCAGCTTCCCCCAAAGGAATGCAGCCTCCTCCCTGCCCACCTGCCACCCAGAGCGTCCAGCATGAAGCACCATACTCCCTGACCTGTGGCCCTGCAGCCCGTGGGGCGGGGGGGGGGGGGGGGGGGGGGGGGGGAGAGACTGAGTGGCAGCTTGGCCGGCCATACCTGGCGGTGAGTGAGTGTGAGGTAACTGGGGCTTCCCAATGCAGGAAGGGCACACTCTGCAGCTGGATGTGCATGTCATATAGGCCCTGGGGGACAGGCATCACAATGCATGGGGGCCTAATGACACAGTGCTTCCCCAAGGGCCCCCCACCATGCTAGCCCCCGAGGCAGGGCGCCAGACACACTGTGCCTGCCTCTGGAGACAGGTGGCTTCACAGGGACCCTTCCCTCTACATCTGGTTATATGGCCCACACACCTCGATGAAGACATCACCCACGATCTTGGCAGTCATCAACACCAGCATGATGGGGAAGCCATAGGTCACATTGCTGGTGGCCTCCATCATGATGACCGTAAGGCTCAGGGTCATTCTCACAATCCCTCCTGTAGGAAATGCATGTGAGCCCTATCCTCCTGACAGCGGGGCCCAGCTCAGCAGGGTCCAGCTCCCAGGAGACTGCTGGTGTGGTCATGCCCCAGGGGTGGTGCCAACTTCTGCCTCAGGCCTATTTCCCAGGCTTCTGATTTTTGTTCTGTTTTTGGTACTGGGGATTGAATCCAGGGACGCTTAACCACTGAGCCACAGTCCTAATTATTTTTCATTTTGGGATTGTCTAAGTTGCTGAGGCTGGTCTTGAATTTGTGATTCTCCTGCCTCAGCCTCCCAAGCTGCTGAGATTACAGGCCGGTGCCACTGCCCCAGCCTAAGCTGTTCTTTTAAACCGAGTGCCGACTAGATGTGCAAGGCCAGCTCTGGCTGTGCTCACCACAGGTGGGTTACTGAGAATGAGCCCTGCTGACCTCATGGGGCCCACCCCATCAACCAGGCAGGACCCAGGACTCACCGAGCTGGGCCGCAGCGCCCATGAGGGCGTACTTGCCAGGGTCCGCCCAGATCTGTGGGAGGCAACCCAGGGAGAAGTCCATGTGGCAGCAGCTCCCACCAAACCCACCAGGAGGCACCCAGGAGGGCCTGGCCACCCCATGGTGTCACACACCCTCTGTGTAGCCACTCTATAACTGACCCAGGGGCACCTTACCACAGGCGGGGGAGCAGACTGCACAAGCTGGACATGCTAGTGAGCTGGGCAGACAAGGCTTCGCCCAGGCCCAGGTGCTCTGAGTGCAGGCCTAGACACCAAAGAACAGTGCCCCGCCGGCAGGGATTCTAGCAGGCCCCAGCATACAGGGGCCACACACTGTGACCCACTGATGGGAAGTGTCCAAGACAGGCAAACGCAGAGGGCAGGGAGGAGAAATGGGCTCCCTGCCAGATGGAGAAGACTCTGTGGCCACAGAACACTGAGCAGGGTGCTGAGCTGGCGTTCACCACCACAGCGCTGTGCCTCTCCAAAGGCAGAATTTTATGCCATGTGAATGTGTCTCAGTTTGAGACACGATGGCCATGCATGTGATCCTAGGACTCGGGAGGCTGAGGCAGGAGGATGGCAAGTTTGAGGCTAATGAGGGCAACTTAGTGAGAATCTATCTCAACATACAAAATAAAAAGAGCTGTTGATGTGGCTCAGTAGTAGGACACTCCTGGGTTCAATCCCTGGTACTGAGGGTGGCAGGTAAAGGAAAAGCCAAACTGAAATAAACCATGCCAGAGAGGCCAGAGGGCATCGGGGGCACCGAGAGCCCCGAGCGAGCCTGGACAGCGAAGTGGGGCAGGTACGGACTCCTTACTGCAGCCTCCCCTTTTCTGTTGTACTGGGACTAGACCCAGGCACTCTATCCATGAGACATATCACCAGCCCCTGCATTTTATTTAAAAGCTTGAGAAAGGCTCGAGTTAAGTTGCCGAGGCTGACCTTGAACTTGCAACCCTCCTGCCTCAGCCTCCCAAGTACCTGGGATGACAGGCGTGCACTAGCACCCAATCACTGTGACCTGTCTGGTGATGTTTTAATCTTATTGGATAACTGAAAAGTTGAACAGACCCAAAACACAAAGCAAAAACCAAAACCCGGAGCACTGTAGAGGCAGGCAAGAGGAGGGAGGGGCTGGAAGGCCCTGCTGGGTGGGGCCTGACCCAGCTTATCCCTTAGCCCTGGGCTCCCTACTCTTGCTATGTCCCCGCAGTCTGCAGCGTGCACAGTACAGCAGCATAGCCCACCTGCTGCTGCCCACCTGTCCTGGGCGCCCTGCTGTCTCTGGCAGTGGCCCCCAGACAAGGGATTAAGGGGAATCTCAACTTCAGGGCCCCAGCCTCCCTCCTCCAGTTCCCACTTACCGCTGCCCCCGTGAGGTAGGACAGGGAGATGCCAAAGAGCCGGCCCCAGGCAGCCCCGATGAGCAGGGACGGGATGAAGACGCCTGCAGACACAGTGAGTCCGTAGGTCCAGCAGGCCAGGAAGAAGTAGACCAGGGTGAACAGGCCCAGGGTCACAGGGTTGTAGGAGCCTAGGGGAGCAAGATCACTGACTGCCCACCCGACTCATGCCTGTGTGCACTGCCCCACCTGGTCCATGTGGCCATACCCAGGGAGCCAGGCCCCCTGAGACCCAAGACAAGAGGCTCCCTGAAGGCTCGGTACTCTCCACCTCCCTGGGGAAAAGAAGGGACTGGTCAACCAGAAGGGGAAGTGGTGGTGACAGTGACCTCAAGCCAGCAGAACAGATGTGGAGCCCAGGGTGATAGCCTAGATCCCACATCCGTGGCCCATCCATGATCCCCAAAAAGCCTGCACCCAGGCGACTGTCATTGGGATGGGGAGTCACATAGGCTGCTGAGGAAGCAGCTGGGCTCCCAGCCCTGCTAGACTTGTCCTCAGTCTGACCTCAAACTGACCAGCTGAACTGGGAGGTGTCTTTCCTCCAAGTGTGAGCACAGCTCAACTTCGGAGGACAGGCCCTGTGGTCCAAAATGGCCAGTGTTACAGAGCCTGTCCTCCGAAGTTGTCCTCCTAGTTGCATTCTGGGAAGATGTCACATCTGGGAGGGTGGACAGTAGCCAGGGCAGAGCCACTCTTGGCAACTGGCTGAGCCAAGTCCCAGGAGACAGCTTCTTTTTGGACAAGGTGCTAAGAGGTCAGGTTTGGAAGACTGGGCTAAGTGGAGAGGGAACATCCAAGGTGGCCAGAACATGGAGATCTGAAGGCTGGAGACCAGGAGGGCAAGGGGGTGGGATAGGGAGGTGTTGCCAACACCCCGGCAAAGAGTGCTGTAGTACAGGCCAGCAGGACCGGAAAGGAGTAGGTCAGGGAAGGCAGAGGTCTGTGGGGAAGGCACAGTCCACACCAAGCAACCGCCTGCAGGAGACATGGCCAGACTACTGGAACCATAGCCGGTTGCAGGACCCTGGTGTGCACACAGGGGACACAGGCCTACCTCGCTCCACACTTAAAAGGGTTTCTGCTAAATCTAACCCTCACACACACATACACACACATAGACCCAGAATCAAGGACAGATGTCCTGGGGCTGGGGATGTGGCTCAAGCGGTAGCACGCTCGCCTGGCATGCGTGCGGCCCGGGTTCGATCCTCAGCACCACATACCAACAAAGATGTTGTGTCCGCTGAGAACTAAAAAATAAATATTAAAAAAAAATTCTTTCTCTCTCTCTTCTCTCTTTAAAAAAAAAAATTAAAAACAAATTAAAGACAAAAAAAAAAAAGACAGATGTCCTCACTGGCCTTGTGATAGGTCAGGAGGGAGCAGAGCTTGAGACAGGCACCAGAAAGCTCAGCTCTGTGTGGCCCAGTGTGCAGGACCTGGCTCTGGGCACCTGCTGCACCACTGTCAGACAGCCTGGCACTCAGAAGGCTAGGTTTCCTGATGGAATCCACTGGGAGGTAAGCCAGAGGCAGCCCTAGGCCACCCCAGAAAGGAAGAGGATGGCATGGCCATTGGACACCTGGCTGGCCGCCCTCCAGGTGCTTGGCCACAAGGTGTCCTCTGCAACCCGGGCACACTGCACCATGCAGGACGACCCTTCCAGCTCAGGACAAGGACCGCTGGGCTGAGACCCTACCCGCTGCCCCAGCAGGCACACCTGGTGGGTCGTGGAACAGGCTCACCACGCTCCTTTCGGGGGTGTTGAAGAAGGCTGCGGCCATGGAGTTGTACTCGCCATCTGCACAGAAGAGCTGCAGGGTCGGGAGGGAACAAGCTGGAAGGCAGCTGGCCCTGGGGCTATGTTCGGGCCCACCCTGCCCCTGCTGCCTGGGGAAATGGGCAGCCAGGGGCCCTGTGAGCACACTGCCAGAGCCAGCGGCCAGATGCCAGCCACTGCAAGCCCCAGGCCCAGGCCTGCCCCTCCTGGGCTAAGGCAGAGCTGGGCTGCAGCAAAGCTGGCTTGTCCACTGTGACCCTGACTACCTTTGCAAGTCTGTTCCCATCTGCCTCCACCAGAACTCATTCCCCCTCTGCCCCCACCCTGGGCAGGGGCTACTCATCCTCATCCTACCTCCAAGGGGAATTGCAAAGGCCCTGTGTCTGGCCTCTCACCAAGCACATTTTTAAGGCTCATCTGGGCCACAGCTAGCTTCCTGCTGTGGAAGGGCACTTCACTCTGCTAGTGGATGGACATGTGGGCAGCTGCCACTTTGGGCTACTACAAATAAGCGGCCAAGAACATCCCCATGAGGCTCCTCTGTGGCTGGGAGATTGTGTTCCTTGAGCCTAGAGCTCAAGCCCCATATGGAGCACTCAAACTAGTCTGGGAAGAGGATCACAGTGAAAGCAGCCAGCACCATGCCACCCCAGTCAGGACAGGTCTGCAGTGCACCAGCCAGCTGGCTCTGGAGTTCCTCTTGCAGGGAGCAGCATTCAAGCCAGGCTGGAGGCTGGCCCCCAGGACTGCACCTGCTCATCTGGGCCCCAGGCCTACCTGCAGCGGATAGGACATGGAGTTCTGCAGGGGCTGGCAGTCCCGGGACGAGTAAATCAACACGAAGGCAACGGTGGCAGTGACAGCAGCCACGAGCACGGCTTCAATTACCTGGAGACACGGCCGGTGGATGTACCTGGAGCCAAGAGCCAGGGGCGATCACTGCAGGGACACCCTCGGCGGCTACCATGGCAACCTGACCAGGCCATCTACTAGGAGGGCCGGGAGGCTTAATAATCAATCTGCCCAGTCTCCAGGGCGTCCTAGCTATCTTCTTCCCTGCAGTGACTAAGGCTTCCCAGCAGCAAGACTCCCCCACCTCTACTGTGGGAAGTGCTCCCACCAGCTCTCCTGCTCCACTGGTAGCTGTCACTGGAGCCAGAACAGGGTGGGGGTGGGGGTGGGTGAGTGCTTCCGCAAGCCCAGAGCTGCTCCCTACAGGCTGACCATGTGCAGGAAGGACAATGGTGTCTAAATCAGAGCTACCAGACCCACCCTGGCTGACCCTTGGGTGAGGAGCCCTCATATTCTCTCTGGAGGCTCTCCAACCTCACGCCTGGGGTCCCCCTCCCCAGTTAAGCCAGTGTAGACCACCCACTTCACAGGCCCCGTGTAACCACAGCTATCAACATGGCATCCAAGACAGAGGCTCTTTCTCACCTGATTCGAAACATCGTCACCCAATAATTCAAGGCATTGAACACGGCTCCAAGAATGCCACCTACAACCAGGAGGCAAACTCCCATCAGTCACACAGGGAGGAAAGGGTCCCGGCAGCAGAGTACCCGGGACCCTGGTACAGAGGACCAACACACTCTAGGCTCTGCCTTCTTTTCAGGAAAATGGATTCACAGAGCAGCACTGCTCATGTGCTCCTCACCACAAAATTGAAACCCAAATTCCTAAGTACAGACAAGACCCACAGAAGGAAGACTCCGCATCCTCACGACAGGTTACAACCTAAGGCAGGTACTATAAGAACTCCTAGGTAGCCCCCTGTGCACAAGCAGCAGGTGACAGAGGACCTCTGTGTTGAAACATGGTCTCTTCCCCAAAGTATCTAATCATGAACATGAAAATGTACTAGAATTCAAAACAAAAATCCAAACTCAGAATCATTGCTGGTCCTGAGCAGTGATTGGATAGGGAACCTTCACCATGGAGGCCATTGGGCCCACTCTGCTCCAGGGGATCCCATCACTGCCCCTGCAACTTCCAAGGGAGAGAAAACTGCAGAATGCAAAAATCTGGGACATTCCTGAGCCCTCCACTTCCAGTGGCCCCTCTAGAGGAACCTGGAGGAGAAGGGCCCCGTGGCAGGGTGGACAGTCCTCCCTTACCCACCACGCCCCCAGCACAGGTTTCCAGCTGTCTGTCCTAGGGTAGGGCCTTACCCACCACGCCCATGACGATGAAGACGGGGATCTCGTGGATGGTGTATGCCATCTTCTGTGGCACAGAGGAGACAAAGCGAGACATGCCTGGTCATGACACCTGCCCATGTGTGTGGCACTTCCCACACCTGCACACAGGGCCGTAGAGCTCCCCCCGGTAGAAATGTGGGTGCTCTACGCAGGTCTGTCCCTGCTGTCAGTCTAGCTAGTCTGGGAAGCTCATGCAGCCCAGCGTCAGCGCCTGCACAGGGGCGCCAAGGCTCTACTGGGCAGGTCTCCACACGTACCCTGAGCACCCATAGGACCCTGAGGCTGGGAAGAGCTCAGTTCCCCAGGCTGCATTCCCACCCTAGCCTTAGTGAAGGGCCATCCATCCTGGCACCCGAACAGCAGGATAGGGCCGGGTGGGTACCTCCGAGTCGAATCTCCCGAAGTTGATGAGGCCTGGGCTGGACAGGTCCCACATGTTTCCGTGGTAGATGCTCAGAACAAAATTCAGAGTGAAGGTGGAAACCATGGAAGCAAAGAACTGTGGGACAGAAAGGCCAACAGTTCAGCCACCGGCACCCCGGGATACCTTGAGCCAGGCTGGGAGGCTGAGGTTCCTGTCATTCAAGAGGGCCATGGACTGAGCAGGCTGAACCTACTGCACAACCATGGACAGCACTGGAGACAAGCTAGCAGAGGATGTGAGGGAAGGCAAGGGCCAGTCCCCTGGAGCCGCCTAAGTGGACAAGGCTCAACACAGAGGGTGAGATGTCCACTCTGCCCTGCTGCCTCTCCTCAGGAGACCTGGCGGGGTATCAAAGGCACTCACGATCCTCCATGTCAGGAACTGGTTCCAGAAGGAAGCACCTTCCTCCAGGCTGAACAGGACTCCACCTGGAAGGCAGTGGCCACGCTTGACATGCACCTGAGGGGCAAGGGCACTGTACCCTGGCACCGCCCACCCCAGGCCCCAGGAAGAGGGATCTCTGACGAGGTCCGAAGGCCAGAGTCTCCTTTCCCTCAAGTGGCAGCGGGTGGGGAGGATCCCTGCTCACCCACAGGGGCTCCAAAAGCAGCTGACACCCCAGCTGCTGCTCCTGCAGAGACGAAGTCTCGCTTCTCTGTGTCTCTGCGGAAGTACTCAAAGATCTGAAACAGGAAGAGGCCGAGGGCCCTGTGGCAGGTGCTCCAGAGCACACCTTTCAGAAGGAAAGGAGGCCTGAGAGACCAGAGCAGGGAGGGCTCTGCTTCACAACCCCACCGCCTGACCCAGCCACCACAAGTGACCATGCAGGCTGCTAGCACATGGGCCCTGGCCAAGCCTGTCTGCAACAGTGCACACAGGAAGCCTGTCAGGAGTCTGTTGCACAACCAAGAGATCCAAAAAAAAACCCAAGAGAGCAGAAAACCGAAACTACCCTTGCTCTTGAAAAAGGATTGTTTTCTGGCTGGCACAGTGGCTACACCTGTGATCCCTGGTCCTTGGGAGGCTGAGGCAGGAGGATGGTAAATTCAAGGCCAGCCTCAGCAACTTAGTGAGACCCTGTTCCAAATAACAAACAAGAGCAGTTGGGGTGTAGCTCAGCAGTAAAGCACCCCTGGGTTCAACACACAATACCAAAAACAAAGGACCATGTACTATAGAAATGTTCATTCTCTCTTAACTCACATAAAAATTCAGTGCAATACCCATCAAAACGCCAGGGACCTTGCAGGCAGATGGCAGGAAGCCATCCCAGAACGTCTCAGAAACAAGCGTCGTGGATATACATGAAGACTGAGCCACTGCAGGCGGCCAGGGCGGAGCCACAGACCCTGTTCACATAATTGCACACCCCACACAGCACCAAAACCATAGGGCAAGTCAGAGAGGCCACTGGATGGGAGTGGAGGAATGGTGTCTGCCTTATCTGGCCAGGCCAGGTGTCCCTCGGGCAGAGACAGGTGGGGACAGGCTATTTGCCCTGCTGGTGCCAAGACATAGGTCTCAGTGGGACTCCGCATGGGGCAGTGATGGCTGAGGAACAGTCATACACAGGTCTATGTGGGGGGCTCACCTTGAAATCTCGCTTCAGTGATGTTGACCTCCCCTGGGAAATTCCCGCGGCAATCACAGACCCAGAATGGATCATTGGTCCTTCCTGGAAGCACAGTGAGCAGCACTCAGGGACACCCATGGGCCTCAGTGACTTACAGGGATGGGACACAGGCTGGGGCAGCATCCATAGTAGTTACCTTTCCCACGGCCAGGCCACCCACCACAGACAGAATCACGCCAGACACCTTGATCACCAACGTCTGGAACACAAGGGAAAAGCACAGCCTCTAAGCCAAGGGCAGAACTCCCGGCACCTGAGCAGCAAGGCCACGGGCATAGGAGGCACCATAGCCACAAAGCCACATGGGCTTGCCGCTGCCCACAGCCCTGTCCTTGGTGGAGGGTTTCCTCCTGGTCCTCCTACTACCGCACATGCAGGGGGCAGCTGTGCTCCCACTCAGCACACATGCAGGGGATGCACGCCCTCTGTCGGCCCAAGCACTCCCCAGGCAAGGGGGTGGGTCTGTCCTCCCTCCCTGCCCCCTCCTACAGACTCATCAGAGGTGACTCCTGCATGGATATACAGCCTCCCATGCCCATCTGAAGGCATTCATGCCGGGGCAGGAGCCAGGGCAGAGCAACTCTCTGGAAGGTTCCAGTCACCCTGGGTGGGAATCAGGTCAGAGGCCATCTCCAGCAGCTCCAGGTCCATCGTACTCTATAAAAGTGCAGGACTCTCCCAGCTGCCAGCTCCCTGGAGTATGGCCACACTGACTCGCCCTGGCCATAGAGCACAGGCCCTGGGATGGGGACAGGAAGCAGCCCTGGCCATCTCGAGCTAGGAAGAGTGACTACGCAAATGTTAACAGCTGGGGGCCCAGCCCCCATGGAACTGGGATGCTACTGAGGATACGGAGCATGAAGAACACCAAAGAAAGCACTGAAGAAAGGGGAAGGGTGGGCCAAGGCCAGCCTCTCGCCTGGCCGCTCAGCTTCTCAAACACTGCCCACCACAGTCCTTGGTCACAGACACACTCCCTGTGGCTGTAGTCACACACACGCAGGCTCAGCCTCTCTGCACCACGTAAGAGATACCAAGACCAGTCCCTGCCATTGGGCTAGGTCTGGAGGGGTAATGGACAAGACAAGTCTTTGGATTCCACAGTCCCTGGAGGAGCACCTGTTGCACCCGGGGTCCCCACATGTGCCTCACCTTGAGCCGCACCACGTGGGGAATCTTCACCCCATTGAGGAAACACTTGATCTGGGGGATGCCACTGCCGGCAGCAACTGGCTGGAAGAAGAAGAAGGTGCCACTAGGCCAGTGGAAGGAGTGGGGCAGCCCCGAGGCAGGAGGCCCGGCCTGGCGAAGGCTGGCCCCGGGTATAGGTTCTTGCCCCCTTGCCCAGAACCACCTCCCAGATAACCCTGCAGATGTGGAAGGGACTGCTGGCAGAGCCAGAAGGCCCCTGTGGATGGGGGCCTGCCCCAGGAAGGAGAGTACATCATCATGTACCAAGCAAGCACAGCTTCCTCTGCATAGGGCACCGCTCTACACTCAGCAGAAGGCTCTGGGTACTGGCATCTCTTTCCTCTAGCACCCCACAGCGAGGACAAGAAGCACAGGGGCCCATGAGAGGACGATTCCTTGGGATGAAGGGACGCCTCGGGTGGATGACACCTCAGGTGGGCGTGTGCAGTGCCCAGGGAAGGCTGGTCCTGCTTCCACCTCTACCCGGGTCTCTGGGCAGTTAGCCCTGTCCCCGAGACCCGGGCCCTGGAGCGCCTGTGTCCAGCTGTGATGATGCCAGGGCAAGGTGCCGGCCTGTGTGGTAGGTGGGATGAGGTGGGGTGGGCGCAGGCCTGTGCTGCTGGGGCAGCAGTGGCTTTGCCCAGCCTGGGATGAGGAGACCCCGACGTGTTTTCTGCCTTCATTAAGTGGTTTTCCACAGGCACCACCTGATTCTCACTAATAGAAAGCAGTAGTCACCAGCCAAGGGGCTCCATTCACTAAGACCCTGGCCATGCTGGTCTAAAGTACCCAGGACTTCCAGCAGCAGGTGTACCTCCACGAAGGCCACAATCACGGAGCCCAGGAACACAAAGGCGGCATTCAGGGTGGCCCACAGCAGCAGGGAGAAGGACAGCCCGCCTTTCTCCGTGAACTTGTCAATATCTGGTGGCTTGTCAGGGACGGGGCGCTGCATCACTGAGCCCACACCCGCCAACCCTACCCCACTCCTGCAGTCAGACTGGGGCAGAGTGCACCTGCACAGAGGCCACTGGCTGCCAGCACGGCGATGGTACTGACTGGATGGCTCAGACTTCTCATGGCAGGAGCTGGCCATGTCTTGCAGGGCTGGCCACTGCACCACTTGACCACTCCACCACCGAGCCCCAGCTCCCACCCTCACTCTGTGTAGGCAGCTGAAAGGATACTGTCCTTGATGACCCTGTATTTGAGACCAGCCAAGTTCTCTACCACAATGTCAATGAAGCAGGCCACAAGGCCTGTGAGGATCCCAATGAGAGCACAGATGACCCAGCGCTTGATCTCCACTGTCCGGAAGGCCTGCTGGGAGGAAGGTATGGTCAGAAGTGGGTGGCAGCCAGATGCCCTGGTGCAGGTGGCTCTGGTACCAGCATGAGGGGCTCCTGGGAGTCAGGTCCCCACCTTGCACAGTGGACCAGGCTCAGGGACCCAAGTCCTCCCAAGGGCAGCCTCTGACCAATGTCTCAGTCTTTAAACAACATTTCAGTGACTACAGAGCACCTCGGGGTCCAACAAGTTCCCAATCAGCTGTGGATGTCCTGGAGCCACACTTGATATTTCAAGAACATCCTCCTGGTGAGGACAACAACACTCCTGACATTTTGAGTATGTGCTATCAAGGGTCACAAGCTTAGGGCTCCCCCAAGGACAAACCAGAGGGACAGAGAGTGGCTCCAAAACCTAGACTCTTGGGGACAAGGAGGAAGGGAGATGAGCAGAAGCACTGTCCAGCCTGAGGACAGGGCCCTGTCCAGCCTGAGGACAGGGCCCAGCTGGAGGGTAGGGACCCACCCACTCAGGGACCCACCCACTCACCGTGTGGTTGATCCTCCGCTCTTCCTCCAGGAACAGCTGATTCTCACTGTTGTCATAGTCCAGGCTCTGCGGAACAGGGCAGCAGGGGCTGCAATTGCTGATCAGTTACTGAAGGGGAGATAGATGCAAGTGCAGCCAGGCTGGGGTGGGAGGCTAGAGAGGGCAGGGTCTGAAGCCAGTAACAGAAGAGGGGGACCCACCTCATATGTGAGAGACAAGAGCTTTTCATTGTGTGGGATCTCCTTAGGGAAGGGGTGGGACGAGTCCCTTTCCTGTGGAAGAAAAAGGCAAAGGTACACACGCTCTTTGGGAACAAGGTACAAGGGGCCACATCTCAACCTGTCCCAGAGCCAGCCTCATCCTAATGCCAAAGGCGGGCCAGATACCATAAGGGACCTGCAGCCCAACATTCCCTTTGAACACAGATACAGAAACCCTCAATCAGATCTGTGCACCAGGAGCCCAGCCGCACCACCAAGGTGGACTGTTCCAGAAGGCAAGGTAGGTCTGGCACCCACAGTCACCTCTCCCAGATTGTGCAGGAAACTGTGCCGACGGAAGCCCAAAGGCTATGGGGCCATCAGGACAAGCAGAAATCCAGCATCTTCTTGATTAAACATCAATACAGCAGAAGGCAGGCCAACATCTCAACCTGCTGGAAGCCCCAAGAAATCCCATAGGCAGTACCCCACCACAAGTGAGCAGCAGGGATACGCCCAGCCAGGATGAGGAGTGGGCTCTCACCACTCGTTATCACCTCTAAGTTGAAGGTTCCTGCCGGAATTTCTCACATATAGAAAGCTACTACAATGAGTAAACACAGTCAGTCAGATTAAAGGGTACAAAATGAACTGTCTTCCTCTGCATTTGCAGCAAATAACCACAAACAAAAGAGTCAATTCTGTTTATAACAGTGTCTAAAGTAGAATGCAGCTGGGCATAGTGGTGCTGGCCTGTGATTCCAGCCTGGGGCAGCTTAGACAGACCCTGTCTCAAAGTAAAGGAGCAGAGATGAATTCAATCCCCAATACCACAGAAAATGACTGACAAGTCTCCAGGACCTTGGCTCTGGCGGAGGATTCTCAATCACCATACCCAATGCACAAGTAGTGCAAAGCAGGTAACTGGGACTTCATCAAAATAAACACATGTGTGCATTGAAGAACACCAAGACAGCAAAAAGAAAACCCACTGAGTGGGAGAAAGTATTTACCAGTCACTTATCTAGTAGAATATTTGTGTCCAGAATATAGAAAGAACATCTATGGGCTAGGGGTATGGCTCAGTGATGGAGAGCTTACTAGTGTTCTAGGGCCTTGGGCTCTATCCCAAACACTGCAAAAAAGAAAGAAAGAGAGAGAGAGAGAGAGAGAGAGAGAGAGAGAGAGAGAGAGAGAACGAACTCTCATAACTCAGTTATTGAAAAGCAAATAACGGGGGCTGGAGTAGTGGCTCAGTGGTAGAGCACTTGCCTAGCATGTGTGAGACCTGGTTTGATCCTCAGTGCCACATAAAAATAAATAAATAAAACAAAGGTATTGGGCTGGGGCTGGGGCCTAGTGGCAGAGCATTTGCCTAGCATGTTGAGGCACTGGGTTCAATCCTTAGCACCTTGTAAAAATAAATAAAATAAAAGCATTCTGTTCATCTACAACTATAAAAAACAAATAAAAGTATTGTGTCTGTCTACAACTAAAAATAAAAAAATAATAATAATGTAAACCAGGCATGGTGGCAAACGCCTATAGTCCCAGCGACTTAGGAGACTGAGGCAGGAGAACCATGAGTTCAAGGCCAGCATCCATAACTTAGTGAGGTCCTAAGCAACTTAGCAAGACCCTGTCTTAAAATAAAAAATTAAAAAAAGGATTGGGAATGTAGCACAGTGGTAAAGCACCCCTGAGTTCAATCCCCAGCTACTCACACTCCCCAAAAATAATTTCTCTTAGCTGGGGGTAGTGGTACCTGCCTACAGTCCCAGCTACTCAGGAGGCTGATGTACGCGGATCATAAATTTGAGTTCAGCCTGGGAAAGTTTGCCAAACCCTATCTCAAAATTTCAAAAAGTTCTGGCAATATAGCTCAGTAGTAGACTGCTTGCCTAACAAGCTTGAAGCCCTGGGTTTAACACTCAAAACCAGCTGAACAAATAAAAATCCCCTCAAAACTTGAATAATCCAATTAAAAATGTGCACAGACTCCACACAGGCATTTCTCCACAGTCGTGCATGAGGACACTTGGCATCACTAGCCATCAGGGACAAATCTAGACCACAACAGGTACCACAAGGCAAGGTGCAAGCGGCCAGCTGGTGGGGTGCAGGAAATGTTCCCATGGCAACTGCTGGACAGAGCGCCCCACACCTTGCTCACTCTGCTGGGCCTCGCCGGGCTCCAAGGCCCTCCTTCTCCTCTGCTTAACTGCCTGTACCAGCCCTCGCAGCAGGCAGCCCCGGCACAGTGGGGTGTGAGCCCTCTGCCTGCTGGTAGGACGCAGCTCTGCAGGGGTAGGAAAGGGTGCACGGCCAACACTCACCGGGTCCAGGAGCTCATCGTCCAGCTCCACGTTGCTCATCTGTCCAATTCGGAAAGACACAGAATGAGGCGACTAGGAGCAGAACAGAGGTTGTGAGCACGCGAATGTGCCATGCACCCACCCCTGCCCAGCTGGCACCACCCTCCTCCCGCGGGAGACAGGCCTGCTCCTGACCCCCACGGCCCACCCGGAAGCCCAGTGCCCACCTCTTGTTTTAGGATGGATATGGAGCGCTCAACACCTGCCAGGATGAAGGGCTGGAGATACTCCTAGACCAGCCAGTGTCCGTGCTGAGGAGCCCCACCCTCTCCACTCACCCAGATCTCGAGGGGCCCACTGCCTACCACCTCCTCAGCACTGCTTTCAGAATAGCCTCTCTGCCCCATGCCTGGATTTGAGTATGTGCACATCTCCCAAAAGGCCTATGGCACAGAACTGGGTGGGTCCTGCCCCACTGAGTCTCTAGGGTGGTGCAGCTCAGCTCGCGCAGCAATGCCCTTTGTTGTGACTCTCCCCTGACTCTGAGGGCCCTGACCCACTCAGGAGCACCTCCTGGCTGCGCCCAGACCTGCCCAGCCCATCCTCCTCTGTTCGGAGACCATCTGATTAGCTGCTCCCAACCATGTCCCAGACCTTCACAAAAGGGCTGGGGTGGGAAGACAGAGGGGCCAGCTTCTCTGCTGAGGAAGAGCCATGTGTGGGCATTCTGCTGTCTGTGTTAGAAAGCAAACATGCCCATGAGGGGAAAGAAGAGCCTGGAAGTGAGGAGACTCCATGCCATGTCTAGGCCACCCAGAGCTGTCTCCACCCAGACAGCAGCAGCCATCCTGGTGGCCAGCATTTCCACCAACTCCTCTCCCTGTACCTTTCTTGCTCTCAGGACCAGCCCTCCCCCACAAAGGCTCTGTGGAGGCAAGGAGAGGTACAGAGTCCTGCAGCAGGGCTCCATCTGTTTCCACCCCACCCCATCCCAGCTGGTGATTAGCCAACAGGCGAGGAAACCAGAGCAGAAAAGGAACTTATAGGCCAGAGGTCTCTGAAGACTGGTGTGTATGGGGAACCTGACACTCTGGAGGGCTTGCCCCAAGCCACATCCCAACTAGTTGCCAGAACTTGACCTTCCCAGCCCAGTGCTCCCAGGGCCCCTGGAGCTCCTGTCTCTCTCTGCAGGCCCCAGTCCTCATAGGACCTGGCATGGCAGACAGGCAGGCGGATTCCAAGTCAGTCCCCCACAGACACATAGCCAAAGGTTCCTCCTCCCACCGATACAGGGAGCTCCCAGGACCCCTCTTCTGTGAAGCTGGCCCCATTCCTCAGGAGCAGAAGCTAGGCTAGGCCGAGACTCTCAGGTGTCCCCACATCCTCGTGCAGATGTGCGCCAGCCTACCATATGGTCCTGGGCCTGAGAGTATGCAAGGTGAGCAGAAATACAGTCTTCAAGGGCATTGCCTGGCAACAGGAGGCAAAGCCCCAAACATGAAGGACTGGGAGGCTAACAGGAGGGCACAACAGCAGGACCACCAAGAGGCCCCCACCGCCCCCATTGCTGAGCTACCTTGGCAGACTGGAGTGGGAGCTGCGGGAGCCAGCAGAGGAGAGCTTGGGGATGGGCGTGACCTCGAGGAGGTCGGACAAGGGTGAGCTTGGGTAACTGATGTATTAAGGCAGGGCTCACAAGGATCTGCTGCAGGGCACTATAGCAGTTCCTGGCTTCCACACCAGCTGCAGGACCTGGGGGCAGACCAGGTAGGGTCTGCCCTACACTAGCACTGCAACCTCCCACTGAGCCCTAATTATTTGAAAGTCACATCAAAGATTTCTACGGTCAAAGGAAACATCAACAGAGTGAAAAGGCAACTTCCAAAACAGGAGGAGATCTGTGCAAATCATGGCATCTGGCGAGGGACTGACAGGAGTCCTGCGAATCACCTGCTAAAACCAAGCAACTCATCCCAACAAGAGCCAAGCCCCAAAACAGACTTCTCTCCAGAGAATACACACCAGCACCCACTGGCTGGTAAGCACACCCAGGGGTGCCCCAAGCCCCAGTGAACTGCCACCACACACCTACCAGGAGGGCACCACAGAGGAGACGGGAAGCAACAGGGCCAGCAGGGCAGGAAGCTGCTTCAGGTGTAAGATGGAACAGCCAATGACATGGAGCACAGTCTAGTGGCTCCTCAGAAAAAGCCAGAACACTGCCCTACAAACCACCAACTCCACATCCAGGTTAGTTACTCCAAGAACTAGAAGCCGGGTCTCAAAGGAACTGCAGCGTCACTTGCAATAGCTCAAGTACCCACCACTAGGCAGACAAAAGGCCTGCCCAGGCAGTGGCTTCCATCAGCCACAGGAGGAAAGAACACTGCTATGCACCACCCCCAAGGGCTTGCAATGCGACACTGGGGAACTGAGCCAGTCACAATAGCAGAGAAAATGCATGTCCACCCACACACCATACCAGGTCACATCCAGAGACAGGAAATAGAGTGCACTGCCTGGGAAAGGAAGAGTTATTTAGTGGGAACAAAGTTTTAGTTTTGCAAGATAAAAAGTTCTAGAGATTGATTGCACAACAAGAATATACTAGACACTAGTGAATTATGTTCTTAAAAAGAAAAAGTGCTAAATTTTGTTATATGCTTTTTACTACAATTTTAAAAACATTTTTTGAAAATCAGTTGCCGGTAGGTGCTGTCCACCATGTATCCCAAGATCCCAGGCACAGCTGCCACTTGCCAAGCTCCACGCTGAGCACTGAGGACACAAGCCGGGAACTTGGAAAGGACACCAGGTCACACACAAAGCTGAGCACACACTGACAGAGGCAAGGGACAAGAGCAAAAGGTCTGCTTTAGACACAGTGGCCAAGGGCCTCTGGAGCGGAAGGCATCTAGGCTGACCTGGCGGATGCAAGGAGTCAAAGCCCAAGACCAGAAGAGCAGCTAGAATGCAGTGAGTGCAGAGGCAGTGGAAGCAGTCCTGGCTGTGGGGACTGTGCACTATGGCCCCTGGGGGTTTCCCAGGGCCCTCCAACCAGGTCCAGGCCCAGCTGAATCCCTCAACTCTGCTCCCTGTTGGGCCACGGACCATACCTGTGTCCTAGGCTGATTTTAGCCCACCTAAGCTTCTGGGGTGGAGCTGCTGACCCTAAGCAAAGTGGGGCTGGGGCTAGGTAGAGGGCAAGGGAAGGCCAAGGACTTTCAAGGAGGGACTGAGAACAAACAGTGCTTGCTAGAAGAGAACAAAGTTCAAGGGGATGACCAGAGGACCCTCCCCACCACTTCACCACACCCTAGATCTCCTCAACAGTGCCCTCAGATCCCGTGATCTGTAGCTCTGGGTTGCCAAGGCAGGGCACAGTCCCACACCAACCTGAGAGCCTCCTCTGCTGGGACTCTTGGTTTCCCTGCGTTTGTAGGTATGTCCTGGATTTACCAGCACTGCAGTGTGCCCCGCCCCCACTCTGCCCTGCCTCCACTCTTCCTGGCTCAGACTTCCCTCAAAAAGCTCTCAAAATGCTGTTCTTCCAACTGTCCACACACATGACCATGACCTGCTTGATGACCTCATCCTTCCCCTCTCCCACTGTCACCCTGTGCTTGGCACAATGGGTCTGGGAACAGGAACAGATTCTGAAGGAACCAAGCTTTCCATAGGTGTCCAGGCATGAACAGGCCACTCTCCAGTCTGCCCTGTCCATGGCAGCAACCTCATGGTGCTCAGACACCTGGGCCCTAGCCAAGATAGCAACCATGCCACCGTCCAATCATGGGACTCCTGCAACAAACCCCGAAGGGCCAAGAGGCAGGCAGAGCAAGCTCTTGTGTCTGCTCACCAGAACTCTCCACAGCAGCTGTGGGCCTGGGTTGGTACAAGGGCCCTGGACCTAGGAAAACTTTCAAAAGCCCTGTCTGCTGCAGCACTGGGGTGCCACTGAACCTACCCATGAGCCTGCCCACCCAGAGGAGACCCCCCTGACAAGAAATGCTGTTAAGGGCATCACGCACTAATGCATTTGCAAAGACAAGTCACTCTTGAGTTGCTGCATTACATTACTAGGAACAACTGAGGCTCATTCAAAACATGTTTTCTGAGAGGCTCCATGCTCAGGGCTATCCATGCATTAACTATTTTGCAGATAACAAAACTGAGGCACAGGCAGGGAAAAGACCATGCTCAAGACCCTCGGCTGGTCACATGTTCCTGTGCAAAGGTCTTTCAGGACGCCTAGCCTCCAGATTATGCTTGTGCAGTGTGCTGAAACAGACAGGATCCTAAGCACTGCAGGCCCCAGCCTCCTTCTGGCCTCCACCAGAGCTGAGTTAAACTTAAAGCCAACTCAAGCTCACTGGTCTGACCTTCCTACCCCACAGTGTAATCTACACTGTTGCAGGGTCCCAGACACACATCCCCTTTGTCTACTGCTGTTGTTCCTGCCTGAGGATCCTGTGCCAGTGGGGTGCCTTGCACAGTCCTCCCAGGGTGTTGGGCCTATTTGTAGTGGGACAGAAGCTGATTAATGCACTATGGTGTTCCAGGCAAACCACATGGTTTAAATTTTTGAGAGCAGCTAATCAATACTAACTGCAAATAAAATAGCCTGTAATGACACTTAAAGGAAGAAATTAACACCTCTTTAAACACACACACACACACACACACACACACACACACACACACAAACTCCTGTATCTATTTGCAAAGAAAAACAGGAAACCCCATGCCTGTTCATTTCTAGAATAAACCCAAACTCCACCTCTGCCAAAGTTCCATTTTTTTTAACCTATCAGCCCAGTTTTCTTCTTTCTTCTGTTTTATTAACTTCAGATTACTTTACTTTGAAACAGAGAAAACACATAAACCCCAGAAACATCCCAAGAGGAAAAGAGCTAATCACACAGTTCAACCACTCTAACCACTTCAGATCATGAGTTGCAAGCAGTTGTCACTTCAAGGGAGCTGAGCTGCTTCCTACCAGCAACCATCAGACTTTGATTCTCATTGTTTGATACATCTCCCAGGCAGTGCAAAAGCTTTCATATAAGTTTACAAAAATAGCTTGGTTTTTTTTTTTGCCCTTCCCAATCTTTAAACTCTGTGTGTTTGCCAGACCTATCTAAAACAGAAGAAAAGGTGAAAGATAATTACAAAGACCAAGCCATCAACACAAGTAATTCACTTGACTCAAAGTTAATACAATCCGCACAGGCAGACAGACCCAGGGGTAAATAAGCAAAACAGTAATCCTTCTCCCAACCTTGACGCTTTTAAAGACGCAAGCTGTAATGACAGCTGAACCCGTTCTCACCCACTCACTCGATGCTTACTGCATTGGCTGCACATTCCAAATCCAATTTCGCGCTGAGACTAGTAGACAGGAGTTATGGCCAAGCACCTGCTGAGTGGGGCTGGGGGTGTGGCTCAGCGGTAGAGCATTTGCCTGGCATGTGTGAAGCCCAGGGTTCCACCCCCAGTATCGAAAAAAGGAAAAACAACAACAACAAAAAAAAAAAACCCGCCCAAAGTCAGGACTAATCTCCACAGAAAGGTTCTCAGTCACTCTCACAAAAATACCAAACCCTGCCATCTAACTTGTTAAAATATCCTGGGATTCAAAAAGCAGTAAATAAAATCACAGTTTGAGAAAGCCGGAAGGACACGGTGGCCATCATGCCAGTGGTTCAGGAGGCCGAGGCAGGAGACCCGCAAGCCTGGGCAACTTGGTGAGACCCTGCCTCAAAAAGGGCTGGGAGTGCAGTTCGGTGTGGAGCGCACCTGGGCTCAATGCCCCGCACCGTGAAAAAGCAGCAGCAGCGAGTCGGCGGGCGGGTGCCCAGCGCGGGCTCCGGCTCCAGCTCCACTGAGAGGCGCCGCCGCGAGCCCCGGCAGCCTTACCTGTCGCGCGGCGCCGTTCAGCAGCGGCGTCCCTTCGCCCGGCCGCGCTGTCCTCCGCAGCAGCGGCGCCGCCTCCTCGTCGTCGCGGTCGCGGCCGGACCACGACACCTTCTTGGAGACATTGGCCATGGCCCGCGGAGCCGGGACTCGGCACCAAGCTGCCGCGGCCGGGGAGCGTTCTCGTGACCCGCTCCGGCGCCACGTGACCTGCCCGCGTTCACGTGACCGGAGACGGCGGCCGCGGAGGGCCACGCAGAGACGCCTCCCAGAGCCCTTGCGGGCCGGGGCGCCCCAGCCGAGGCAAGTTTCTTCCGCTCGCCGGCGTCGTGAGACCCCGGGGAGGCTGACGGCTAAAGGCGGCCCGGGGCCTGGCGCTGCGGACAGTTGGCGAACAGTCGGTGTCACCGAAGGGGCCGTTTCCTAATGTGACCGTCCCACGCTAGCTCTCGGGAGCTGCGACTGGCCGCGCCCCCCGGTGGCCACAGTGTGCAGCTCCCCGCAGGACAAGAAGCGAGGCGCTGTCAAGTCCTCGCAGGTGGCCTTTGGCACTTAGCCAGGACAGAGGCAGTGCAAAACGGGGCGACCAAACCGAGACTAACCGTGGCTGCGCTCTCGGGAGAGCGGTGCTCACAGAGAGCTGGCGCGGCCAGGGCTGCTGCGCAGTGGTAGGGCAATTGCTTGGCGAGTGCGGGCCTGGGTGCCCTTGCCAGCGCTGCCGCGGGAGCCCGAGGGGAGAATGCTTGGAAAACCAGTACTCACAAGGACTCCAAGAGCCCAAACTTACCATCCTGAAGGGCCATGTTTTTGAAGTGAGACTTGCCCAAAGTTGGAGCTGCATTTAAAAAATTCAAAAAAAGTTCAGGTCAAAACCTGCCTGCTTGGGGCTGGGGTTGTGGTGGCTCAGTGGCAGAGCACTTACCTGGAACACGTGAGGCACTGGGTTCGATTCTCAGCACCGCATAAAAATAAACGAACAAAATAAAGATTTGAAGAAGAAGAAAAAAAACTGCCTGCCTGACTTTACTCAAGACAGCTGTGCTCACTGTCCATTCCAAAAATGGCAGACCATTGTTGAAGCTCATGTGGATGTCAAGACTATTAATGGGGTAGGGGATGCAGCTGAAGAAGAGTGCTTACCTAGTATGTGTGACCTCGTGGTTCAGTCCCCAGCAATGAGAGGGGGGAAAATGCTTATTTACTTCATTTGTTCTTTGTTGGTTTTACTAAAAAAAAATGCAATAATCAGATTGTAGATTGATCATGTTTGGCACCAAATCTGCCAGATCCAGAAGATGAAAATCATGATTCCAAAGGCTCAGGCAGGAGGATCACAAGTTTGAGATGACCCTTGGCAACTTAGTGAGCCCCTGTCTCAAAATACAAAATAAAAAGAGCTGAAGACTCCTGGGTTCAATACCTAGTACTAGGAGGGAAAAGGTGATGTGATCGATCAATAAATCAATCCTAGAGAGCATTGGGAAAAATGCAGAAAAGGTATCATCTCCTTGATGTCCACGTGGAAATGTAAACATGCTGAAGGAAGCCCAGGGTCGTGTTGGGAAGCAACTAGAGCTTCATGGTGAAGGTCTGACCCATCACAGGTAAGACAGGGTCTGCACTGGAACAGGCTGGTGACAGTGAACCCCCAGTCCAGGAATCCATGTGAAATACAGACTTTAAGTGGTGACAAAAAAAGATCACTCTAGGGTACATGTATATGGTGTGCAAAGTATTAGTCTTACAACTTTTTTTAGGTTTTAAAAGTTTTTTGAGTCTCCAAGGCTGAGAAGATAATAGAACATCTCCTTCTCCAAAATAATTCTAAATAGAAACTAAACCCAGAATAAGAGGAAGGAAGTCCAACGGGGTTTTGAATTTTCCCCATGATTACTGTTTTGTTTCTTAGGTTGAACCCACTTATATTTTTTGAGACAGATGTAAGGAAAGTGGCACAGGACACACTGAAAATCTCCCAGACACACTGAAGCCAAGCAGAAGCAAGTTTATTGTTATTGTCAAAAAACCAGATAAGGCTGTCTCTGCACAGAGAGAAAGCAGCAGACCTCGGTAGAGCCTGGGTTGTACATTGCGGGGTGGGCTTAGCCCTTGCTATTGCAGGTGGAGAGCAAGCTTCAAAACCTCTAGAACCACAAAGGGAGAGGGGCATGAGGAGAAGGCACATTGCCACCAGCTCCTGGAATTGGCAGGCCCCTGTCTGGGAGCACTATGGTCAAGGTGCAGGTGGGTGGAGGTGTCAGCCTCTGGGTGAGTGGACTCTTGCAGGATGGGGGAATAGGAGGGGGAACAGGGTGAGGTGTCTGGCCAGAATAGAGTTAGCTTGACTTAACTTTCTTAATTAACACATACTTATGTTAACAGCCTAACAACAGAGTATCACTAAGTTGTTGAGGCTGGCCTCAAACTTGTAATTCTCCTGCCTCAGCTGCCCCAGTAGCTGGAATGACAGGCATACACTGCTCCCTGATTGCTCTGCAGTGCTTTTTGTGAAGTTACAAAAACAATTTTCTTTCTTTTTCATTTTCGTTCCTGGGATTGATTGAGCCCAGGGGCATTTAACCACAGAGTCATGTCCCTAGCCCTTTGTATTTATTAATTTGAGACAGGGTATCACTAAGTTGCTTAGGTCTTTGTTAAGTTGCTGAGGCTTTCCTTGAACTTGGGATCCTTCTGCCTCAGCTCCTCCATCCCCGAGCTGCTGGGATTACAAGTGTGTGCCGTGGTGCCTGGCTCCCCATGCCCCTTGGGAGCAGGGATCTGCCACCTGACTGCAGGACTGCAATGAGTTGCCATTCAGTGGAGGTCACGGGCTTAGGTCTTCTAGGCGAGTAGGGTTTGGGGGAAGGTGGTGGGTAGGCAGAAGAGTTAAGCAGAATAGTGGCATGGACATGGCAGGTCATGATAAGACTAGTTCCTAGGGTTCAGGGTAGTACCAGGGAGGGTGGACCATCTCTGTGGAGGGTGGAGCTGTTTTCCAAAGACAGTCCCTTCTGGGGACTGGACCCAGAAACTTGCAGGGTGAATGCTCTGCCACTGAGCTAGCCCCTCCCCCCATGTGTCATCTTAGGGACAGATGTGTGTGTCAGAAAACAGATGGGCTGGGCTGAGTGGCTGTGGGAGAAAAGAAACCAGCCCATGGCTCTTTGTTGGAACTCACTTCCTGGAACCACTTGGGGTCATTTTGTTTTCCTTACCCAGGAACGGAATAGATTTGGGTTAAAGGAAGAGTCCGGTGGCATTAGAGAGGGATGTGGTTTATGCCTGAGAGTGTATAGGTGACTTTATTTCTGCCTCCAGTAGGAATGGTGAGTCCTGTTGGATACATGCTCAGACTGCCTGGCTCCTAAACCAGGCTGGCTTCCCAGATCTGCCTGCCCCCAATTCCCCCCAGTCCCTGGGCTCCTACCATGATGTCTGACACTGCCTGTGACCCTGCTCACTTGCCCCAACTCCAAACTCTTGCTCCAGTGTCTTGCCCAGCTGGAGCCCCCACCCCAACAAGCATCCTGAACATATTCACTCTCAGTGACACCCACCTCTGCAGAATGCAAGGAGCTCCAAGTCTGGGGACTTGACCAAACACTGCTGTGACTACTGTGACACCTTTGTTCTTCAGGGTGTGGAAAGAACCTGAAAGTGGGGGAATGGGTGGAAATAACACCCTGTGGGTCTTCTGCCCTGGCTCTGCACTGGGTGAAGGAAGCTACCTGTTGTCTTTAGCTGAGGATGATCAAGAGTTTTGAAATCAAACCGTGAGAGGCTCAACTTCTGCCAGCTCCTAAGGTCTTGTGCAAGATGGCTATGCTGGGACCTAGCATTCTGTTCCTCCAAAAACAGTGACCAATCAGATTGCCAGTCTTTCCAAAAGAAAGATGTTAAATGAGAAGTGAAATGGCAGGATGAGGTGTATGAGAAGGAGGGCTCTTAGCAAGAAGCAGGGGTGCACATCTGTGGTCCCAGCGCTTGGGTGCCTGAAGCAGGGAATTGCTTGAGCCCAGAGTTCAGAGCCAGGCTGGCCAGGCTGGCCCCCACTTAAGAACTAATCAGAGAAGATGGGTTCTTCATCAAGTTTGACTGCCCTGGAGAAGCAGAAGCCAGTGATTCAGGGGAGTGTCACATGGGCGCTCATGGGGATTTCCAGTATGAAAATACCTCCCTGACCTTGACTCATGAACAGGCAGTGTTGGGGGAGGCCAGAAGTGCGGGGTCCACTGAGATTGGAGATGCTGGTGAGACTGCAGTGCTAATTTGGGGCACTGTCCCCCCAGAAGTGTGTACCTGTTGGCTAGCTGTCTTCCCATGGGTAAAGGTGGCTAGCTACCCAAGGCCTCTACAGAACTGAAATCACCATACATGAGGTTCAGAGGGCCTTAGTCCTCCAGCAGTCCTCCAGGGTTCTTCCAGGCCTAGGCATGGGCCTTCTCTAATCTGCTTTTGCACTTTTAAAATGGGAAGGCGTGATGGTGCACACCTGTAATCCCAGTGATTCTGGAGGCTGAGGCAGGAGGATTTCAAGTTCAAGGCCAGCCTCACCAACCTAGGGAAGCCTGACTTAAAATAAAACAAAAGATCTGGATGTAGCTCTGTAGTATACCATCCCCAGTACCACCCCCACTCCCATTTCATCCCCCCACAAAAAAAAAACAAAGAAAAATGAATAGGGAAAAAATTTCTAGATGAATTTACATTATGGCATTCACTCTTGGGGACTTGTCCAAAATAAACAAAATTGTGTCCACTCAGGGTTGGGGTGAAGCTTGGTGGCAGAGTGCTTGCCTGCCACACATAAGGTCAATCCTCAGCACCACGAAACAAAAGAAGTCCAAAGATCTGTAGGAGAATGCACATAGCAGCTTTACTCATAGTACTTAAAAGCTGGAAACAACCCACATGCCCATCGGCTGGGGAATGATGGATAAAATGTGGTCCATTCACACTATGGGGTGGCACCCAGCCACCATGTGCTGTGTGAGTCCACCTCGGAGGTGACCAGGACAGGCAAATCCATGCAGAAGAGGGTCACCAGTGCTGGGGCAGGTGTGGTCACTACAGGGGCAGTACTGAGCAGCAACTGAAATACTCAAAAACTCATCATGTGGATGGTTGCACAGGTCAGTATTCTTGCTAAAAGTCTTTGAAGTATACACTTAAATTGGTGCACTTTATAATGTGAAAATGATACCTCA